CCGACGCATTCACTCTTCATTCGTGTTTTGCTTTGTGAACCTGAACTTCATAACTCGCGCATATGGCCTTTTGTACTTTGTAGTTTGTTTTATTTGGGCCGTGGGCGTGTAAAATGTAAATCGTACTTGTTTGTACGTCTTTGTCGTTGATGGTGACCCGGCAGGCGCTGCCTCCTGCCGGTCAGCCCGAGTGTTGCTGTATATGCCCCCGGGGTCACTGCGGAGAGCCGGCCCTGGTGAGTGACGAGTGACGCTGACTCAGGAGTGTCGACGGCCGACAGCCGAGCGCTCGGCGCCGCGATGGGGCCGGGGCCGGGTCGAGGGGAGCACCTCGGGTGTCAGTGGACTTTGTTCACTGCGCCACAGTCTGGTGTCATGACGGCCGCTGGGTGCGAGGAGGGCAGATGGCGGGCGGCTAGGTCCGGATCTGAGATGGTCGTTACGTCCCAAGATATAGCGATCCTCGCTGTATTTGCCGGCCCTCATCAGAGTTATCAGTTCAGTCTATATACATTTCACAGTTTTTCCAATATCGTGCGCTGCCATGTGTTTTCCAGTCCCCACCAGAACTCCTGGTTCGGTTTGGTCTGTAGATCCCAGTTAGGGAGATGACGCGAGCTTCCACAGCTTCTCCAACCCCCACCAGAACTCTTCTGTTAAGCTATTTGGCGAGAGATGCTCACTGATTCTCAGTTTTGACTTTTGCAGTCTTCGCTGTTGATTTTAGTCAGGCTGGGTCTGCTTATGGTTGCTAAATGTTTGCCTCTTCGTTGTTCTGCTGTCATGTGTTTTCCAGTCCGCACCAGAACTCCTGGTTCGGTTTGGTCTGTAGATCCCAGTCGAGGGAGATGACGCGAGCTTCCACAGCTTCTCCAGGCCCCACCAGAACTCTCCGTTTAGGCTGCATGGCCACACTTGTTTTGCTCGACTCTACGTTGCTCTACGTTACTCTGCGCAACTCTGTTTTACTCTACTTTTCTACGTAATCTTACTCCGTGCTAGGGCTTGGAAGCCTTCTAGCCTGCGTTATTGGCAAAACTGCTATGGTTTTCTGATTGTATGTATTTTGGTTGTGTGTGATGCTCGAATTCCTTACATTATTTGCTCTTCCTTGTTGCCAAGTTTGCGATGACACATTCTGACGGGTTTTTCTCGTCGTCCTGGGTTAACGGGGCCCCAGTCCTCGATCTTCAACCGCTGGCCACAATCTTCAGCTGCGGTCTTCGGTCGACTCTGTTGTAGCGAGCCGTGGGCTCAGCCACGCTGGCGTGTACGACTCCGTTCTCTGTGAGAAGGTGGCGATTTGGACCGTCCGCGGCGCTCGGGTGACGTTGGTCGCGGTGAGCTGCGGCGTTCATATCGATCATAAGATGAATATCGGTATAATGTCTTTCCGGAGATCGGCTTCGGTCGTCATAGCCTGAATTCTGGCACGCGCATTGACATGTTGGGGTGTTTATCGTCGTTTGACAGTAGTAGCGAACTAACGAAGTTAGCGTGGCGATAATAAGACGAGAGAGGGAGAGTGGCTTGGACAGGGGACACGTGACGTAGGGGAGCTCGCGCTGTCGCTACACGTCGCGGTATACTAGCTGTATTGATGTTGTTGACCCTTGTATCGATCCTCTCGGATGGAGCGTGCCGTGTCTGTTCTGTCCCGATGCACAGCCGCCCTCCATCTGCTGTGGGCCGACTCGTGGGGAATTTGAGATGCGGTTCCGCCCACAATCCATCTCAGCATATACACATTGCCACGGAGCTGGTTATTGTACGCAGTTTGTCGGCCGCAGTTTACTTACACTTTTTGCTTACATAAGTACACTATACCTACTCGGAATGTTCTGTGTGTGGTCACCGAGTGCCACCATGGAGTTCGGACTTGTTAGTTTTTGCCGCGACGTGTGGGTTGTCTCATGGGGATTGCTTCACTGTCGGCCGATCGCCGTCGTTGACCAGTCTACAACCCCGCCTGTCGTCGTTTGCTGTTGTTTCGTTTTTGGTTTCGTTTTTGTTGAATGTGCAGATTTTGCATTCCATTGGAGAAGAAAATTCATGGATACTGCCTGCTGGGTGCTGCTGACAAACTGTCGTTCGGTATTATGTTCTGGTGTGGATGTGGACTGTATTTGTTCAATATGTTTGCGCGACATTCGTAACCCGCCCGCCTGCTATGTGCGTTCCTGGGCTTTCGATGTTACGATTTTCATTTGTAGAGGGACGCGAAGGTTTCCCGTATAAAATTTATTGAATCACACTCGAAGCAGATATAAGTGGAAGCAGTTGTGTGAAAATATGCCCCTATACCTGCTTATTTGGATGTGTGGCTCTGCAATTCAAATACTCATTCAGCATCAGACCGACTCTCCATCGCATAGCCCTCGCTCACCACAGCCCCAGAGACAGCGTTTACACTTAGAGGTGTTATTATTTAGGATGGGGAAAGACACTCCCAACAGTAACACAGAAGAAACGCCAAACATTCACAAACCTTTGGCCCAACCAGCGCTCCATCAGCGCAGCTGGTGAGCTCACTACAGTACTTACATCCCGTCTTGGGTACACGCTGGTCAGTGTTCAGACCACAGAGTCCCCGACTCCGACTCTGAGTCCGACACTGTGTGCCGACACTGAGAGAGTGAGTCTGAGAGTGAGCCGGTGCGTGTCTCTCCTCTTCCTCTCCCCGCTGCGGTTTTATATCCGTCGCCTGACCCGAGTCTGTCACTGTCAGGCGACCGTGACGCCCGGTTCTGCCTACAGTGACCTCGCCGCGTCGTTCAAAGGTGTCACAACAGTCACCTTACAGGGTCAGCGCGATCGGAGCCCGCTCTGTGGGATGGCCATTTCGGCCGCCCTCGTCGGAGCCGTGGTCCGCTGGTAGTGTTGGCGGTACAGTCGGTAGAGGAGAAGTGAGTGAGTGTATTTAGAGAACATAGGTTTTTATGGGGTGTCGGGACGCAAGCACGTGACCGGACGGGCAGCCGGCCAGCGAGCCGGCGGTCCCGTGTCGCTATGCGCCCCTGACACCCAGACAGATACAAAAAATAGGGTCCGACATTTGGGGCCTCCATCGGGAGTGGGAGGCATGATTTCCTTCTCCACACTCTCCCCTCGCGCACCAAACGTCGCCAACTAATCCCAAAACCCTGTCAACAATATTGAGCAGAAAGTATGTACCATGGCAAATATCGTCTGGCGAACAGAAATTACCTATTGCTAAAGTGGGATATTGGCAAAACATAAAATGCACACTGTTAACCTCAGATCCCGCCAGCCGTGCGCCTTTGCTTCGAAGTTTTTGTTCTCTCTCCGAGTGGTGGTTACGGCTGCTGTTGTTGCTTCTCCCCTCAGGGAGCCGGCCTGTAGCCACATGAGAGGCTCCTTTTGACGGAGGTAGCCGGCGGTCGAGGCCGCCACCTGCTCGGGTTGAACTGGTATCGACTCGCTACATGGCGATGTGAGGCGGGCCAGGTCGCGCGGTTTTGTGTCGGCATGTGGCGCTGTCTTGATGCCGACGCTGGTGACTGTCGGCTTGGTAGGACGACGAGGGCGAACCGGCGACGTCGCGAGGTTTTTCCACAGTTGCGAAGAAAATCGGTAAAGATGAAACACACACACACACGGAGCACAGTTTTCAGTCACTGTAGCGCCAAATTACCAATTCGTCTGTAGAGCACTGACACTGCTCTGCCAGGCGCGACAGCGAGCAGGAGAGTCAGTCCGCGCGTCCAACGCAACGGACCGCCAGTGCTTCTATATCTTCTGTTCTCGCTTGGCCGGGCGAGGCGTCGAGCGGGGGTCATACGTGACCCGCATTTTATGCAACAGTCACGCAACATTTAGAATATGCCCAAAACGAGTGTCCAACACTCTAAAAGCCTGGTGTATACGTCAGTAATTGTCTCGGCGGCGGCGGTGCCACGGCTCGGCAGAGGCGGCGACATGCGTACCGCCGCGCCGGCCGTCTGCTCCTGGCCACGCACCGCACATTGCCTCACAACTCATCCTGAGCCTGGACGGGGTAACGGCGGTGGCCTGCAGCGGCACGACGGCCACGATGCCTGCTTTTCTGTGCCACCACGCGAGCCTCGCTTTCCTCCCCTCTCCTGCCCGCGTTGGCGGGGCTTGAGATCGTCTCTCCGTTGGATCACAGTAGAAGGATGTTGGCGGGGCTTGAGGTCGTCTCTCCGTTGGATCACACAGTAGAAGGATGTTGGCGGGGCTTGAGATCGTCTCTCCGTTGGATCACACAGTAGAAGGATGTTGGCGGGGCTGGAGATCGTCTCTCCGTTGGATCACACAGTGGAAGGATGTTGGCGGGGCTGGAGATCGTCTCTCCGTTGGATCACACAGTGGAAGGATGTTGGCGGGGCTTGAGGTTGTCTCTCCGCTGGATCACACAGTATGAACTAACCAGTCTATAAGTATGATAGAAAATAATAGTTTTATCAGGCTACACGTTGCATTTGTGAAGGGACTCATGTCTTGCCAAAAGTCTCCACCATCGTTGGCACCAACTGTGGGACGGCCTTTTCGGCTGCCCTCATTGGAGCCGCGGTCCGCTGATGTTGTTGGCGGCACAGTCGGTAGAAGAGGTGTGATAAGTATATTTCGGAACGCATAAGCTTTTATCTTGGGCGTGGGGGCGCTGACGCGTGACCGGACGCACCGACAGACCAGGATCGGTCCTGACCAGCACGCCGGCCGGGGCCGTAGTCGCGCTCCGACCGTCCCGTGCCGTCACGTGGTATCGGTACTCGGCAACAAACACGTTCTGGTGTGCCGCATTCACCGCCGTAATTGCTTGTAGTGTACCTTCAACTAGTGTATCCTCACATCCGACTCGATCTAATCGTTCGTTTTTATCATTCATACATTCTCATTCCTCCTGTACGATCACCGTCTCACACCATTCTACCCGTCTTCTCCCTTCTTCCCACTGCCTCCCCCTGCCTGTCTGCCCACCAGCCCGTGTGCTGACCCCCTCCTCCTCCACCCCCCAGTACGTCGTTCCCGACGACCAGCGGGTGCGCGGCTCGACGGCCGGCCTGTACGCGTTTGAGGTACCGGCGCTGTGTCACCGACCGTGCTCTTCCCGGGCCGGCTCCGGTGTCAGCGAGTCGAGTGACCACGGCCAGCGACCGCCGCCGGCCGGTGTGCCCAACGGCGCCGCGCACCAGCCGAATGGCGAACTGCCGCACGTGAGTACCGGGGATAGGAGATAGAGGCATCGCTCAGCCCGAACGAGAGCTGTCGCATGTGGGTCATTGGAGAAGGGAGGCCTCCTAGACCAGATCAGACCAGACTGAGGGGACCTAGTTCAGCTCAGTGCCTGGTGTAAGGCTCACTGTGTCTGTTTAGGATGTATTTTCTGGCTGACGCAATGGTTGATGGGTCTGGTTTATGTCAGGTCTATGAAGGCTCAGGGGCCTCCGGTGCGGGTATGGCCAATGCTGTGTCCTCTGCTGTTGAGCCTATGACCGTTTTATGGTTGGTTCATAGGCGATCCTATGACCGACCAATACCCTAGGGCTGATGAATGGTTGTTGGATCGTTCCCACTGGTCCGCGCGGCTGTCTACAGGCGCGTTGATCTGCGGCTGACCCCCCTCTGTCCTCGTCCCGGCAGGAGGAGGAGCCTGCCGCCGCCGGCGGCCGGTACGCCGACTCGGACGCGGCCAGCACCGCCTCGTCGGGCGTCAGCTGCCACCTGGACCTGGACGACCTGCACAAGGGCTTCGTGGTCGCCTACCACCGCAAGATGGAGCGCCAGGAGGCGTACCTGCTGTCGGCGCAGAAGACGCGCCCGCTGCTGTTCGGCCTGCCGGTGATGGTGCAGTGCGGCGCGGAGGTGTGCGGTGCCGAGCTGTACCGCGCCGTCTGGACACAGGTGGCGCGGCTCGTGTCGCCGCTGCCGCCCGCCTCCGAGCTGGGCCTGGCCAACCACGCGCAGGACTGGTGAGTGCGGGAGGTGGGGAGAGGGGAGAGAGGGAGGGGAGGGGAGGGGAGGGGAGGGGAAGGGAGGGGAGGGGAGTGATGGACAGGGGATAGAGCTGAGTTGCTGGCTGGTATTCTAGGTCGTTGACGGGTCTTACAATGTGGTCCTGTATGTATAATAACAGTAATGCTAAGTTATAACTTAGGATAAACTCTGCTAATGGTTTTTACTTAGCTGTCTTGTATCTTCTTTAGAATTTCAGGATACTGAAATCCTTCTCCTCCACGCCGCAACCCCCCTCCGGGCTGGACAGGCAACTTTATCTCATGCGGGCTGCTCCCTTGGAGCGGCACCGCTGCTCCTGAGGGAGCGCACCCCGTAGCCGGGTGCAGTGAGTGCCTTGGGGCTGGGTGGCCTATCCTCTGGACGGGCTCAGCCCCGGCGACTCACTAGGGTGCCTGCCCAGACCAATGTCTCCCCCTAATTCCTGTCATCCTTCCGGCTCTGCAATGGTCTTGTCAGACCGAAAGGGCCTAACCCAACAAAACAAACAAATCTTTTGGAGAAGGGGAACTTGCAGCTTGAGTATACTTGCGAAGTCTAATTCTGGGTTCTTGAACTGACCACCCGTTCTGTGTCGCCAGCGACGACAGCCTGGGCTACAAGTACCCGTTCGTGCTCAAGTGCGTCAACAAGACGGGCTCAGCGTGCTCGCACTGCGCCTGGTACCGGTTCTGTCGCGGCTGTGTGGTGTCGTGTTCGGACGCGCCGCTGCCGGTGACGCCCGCCTACCTGGCGATCGACTGGGACCCGACGGCGCTCCACCTGCGCTACCTGGGCGGCCAGGAGAAGGTGGGACCTGGGGAACGGCTGGGCAGGGAGAGGAGGGGAGGGTGGATTATAATGGAAGGGTACGCTGTGATGAGTTTAAAGTGAAGGACCTTGGTTGAACCTCATTGCGAAGATATAGTTAGTCAAGATGTGACTGTACGGTATTAGTTTGGTATGTTTCTTAGTGGATGAATACGTGCTTTAATGATTCCGCTCGTTTTATTTTGTTGCTCATTTTTGTACATCTGACCGGCGCCTGATTTTTGTCATCTTTGGCAACTTTCACGCTAACTCGTTCTTTGGTTTCTGGAGACTGACAGGTGTCCGGTTCTAGCAAGTTGACACGTTGTACCCTGTATTTCAGGTGTGTTTGGAGGACCCGTCCGTACCACTAATGCGCCAGCGTCAGACGGAGCCCATCGATCTCAACAGCTGTCTGCAGGCGTTTACTCGCGAGGAGGCGCTCGGCGAACAGGAAAAGTACTACTGCTCAAAGTGCAAGACGCACCAGTTAGCACTCAAGAAGCTGCAGATCTGGAGGTTACCGCCCATACTGGTACGCTCCGGCCTCGCGGGACGCGGTCTTGGTGTCGGTGTGTGCTGTCTGGGAGAATAACTTGTCCTAGTCAATATGGTTGGTTGCTTGTTTGCTGGGTATATGGATTCAAATGCATTTAAGTTTTGTTTCTAATGAATGTCTATTAAGAATTCTTACGAAAATTCTACTAAGGATTTGTAGTTATGTTGAGCATCAAGAGCAGACCAGTATCGGTGTCGTCGTGTCGGTGTTGTTAAGCACTGTCCTAAGTAGTTTGGGTGTCAGTAAGCCGCCTACAACACTCGCCTTCCGCGTCGAATCTGACTTTGCCGTTCCTCTGCCTCGCCCAGATTGTGCACCTGAAGCGGTTCCAGTCGGTCGGCGGCCGGTGGGTCAAGTCACAAAAGGTGGTCAACTTTCCGTTTAAGGACTTTGACCCGACCGACTACCTGGCATCTGTGCCTCGGCAAACGGTCAGTAGGAGAGGATGGGTCACCTTAGCAAAAAGAGAGTACTTTATCTGGTGCAAATTGCATGCTAGCTGCTCTCGTAGGTTTTCAGTGTTGCTTGATATGTTGGCATAATTTAGCGCCCGTTAATTCTTCATCCAAGTGACAGTATTTTCAAGCTTAGTCCCGCTTTCATTCCCGGTGGATCAGGCCCGACTAAAAAAAAAAGACCTCTTGACACCCCTCCGCACCGTATGTTTTCGTGCTTTGGAGCCCTAGTGGATATTCTTCCTTCTTCTTTCTTCTTGCCCATGTCAGATTTCATTGTTTCTCAGCGTCAGTGTGTCTCCAGTGAGTGTTCCCCGCCTATGGGCGCAAAATGACCTTGTAGTCGGCGCGCGCTTAAGCCCCAATAAACAAACAAGTGTTCCCCGCCGCCTCACCTCTCCGCCCGCCTCCCCAGGTGCTCCACCACCGCGCTGAGTTGGGTGAGCTGTCGGCCGACTCGCCCGAGCTCGACTGGGACGTGCTCTCCTCGGGCGACTCGACCTCGTCGGGCGCCGCCTCGACCACCCCCTCCAGCGCCGGACTGCGGGCGCCGCTCTCCGCCGGACAGAGGGGCCGGATCCGGAACGGCTCCGTCATGTACGGCGACGTGCTGCAGGATTTCCACCAGCAGCGACTGAAGGCCGGCAGGGACCCGCTGCTGCTGCGGTACCGGCTCTACGCTCTCAGCTGCCACACGGGCATCATGGGCGGCGGCCACTACGTCTGCTACGCACAGAACGACGCCGGAAAGTGGTTCTTCTACAACGACAGCTCGTGCAAGGTGAGAGAGCTGACGATGGGATTGATGGGGGGGGGGGGGGGGTGAGGATGGACGGTAGAACTCGTGCTTATTTGGGGGACTACGGTTTGATAGAGTTGTGATGTTGGGTTCTGAAGTTTTTTCTTCATTCCTGAAGCAACCTGCTACTTCATAATGTTGTAGTTATTTCATTTTGGCAATGTTGTAGTTGATTCGTAGGTGCTGTTTGAACTTGGTTCTTGGCTGATTTTTTTTTCTCTATCCGGTTACTTTAGGAGGTGCCGGAGTCACAGATCGACACCAACTCTGCCTACATCCTTTTCTACGAGCGGGACGGCATCGACTACGACAGCTACATGCCCAAGGTAAATGGTCAGTTACTGGTGAGCTTTTTTCCTACTTCCATGCATTCTTTTCTTGGACATGGGCGGCCAAGTGTTATGTTTTGTGTCTTAAAATACTGGACCGAACTAATTCTCAGGCGATCACCTCGGTCAAACCCTGTGACATCACGTCCCTGACTAACCTGCCTCCGTGACCTCCCCATCTCGCAACCGGTAAGCCGGTGTCGCGTCCCGTCCCTGTCTGACGTGTACCCTTACCCCCTCCCCCAGGTGACCGGTAAGCCGGTAAACAAGGAAGAAGTGCAGCAGGAGTACGAGAACGAGTTCAAAAAGGTGTGCTCCGTTATGTGACTGGAACTGGCCGGGGTCCGCTGAGCCAGCCGGCGACGGCTGCTGAGCGAGCCACACATCCGCTGCTGAAGTCTGCCGAAACTGCTGACCACCGCTGCGTGGCTGCTGACATCTGCTGAGCGAGCCGCATTATACAGCGCTGGCATCTGCGGAGCGAGCCGCCGACGGATGCTGATCAACGCTGACAGTTCGCTGAGCGAGCGGCATACGCTGCTGAACACTGTTTCGGACGGGCTCTGATGTCTGCTGACGCTGACTGAGGGGCCGGCTGGCTCCTGTATTCTCAGTGACTGAAGGGCGCTGATGGCTGTATTATCAGTGACTGACGGCTGTCTCACGTCTGCTGACGGCTGTCTCACGGTTGCTGAAAGGTGCTGCCGTGAGCCACTGGGACAGTAACTTGTGATTGCCGTTTCTGCTGGAGTGCTGGGACTGATCTCGCCGTACGGCCGGCCGCCGTGTGTGTGTGTTTGGGACTGGCGGCGGCCGCGACTGGGCTGTCACTGAGCACCGAGCACCCGGGCGGGCGGGGCGTCCCGCCGACTGCGGCGGACTGAAGGCGGGTACTGGACGGGACCGGACGGGCGGGGGGGGGGGGGGGGGACACCCGGCGGGACGCGCCGGGTCCGTTTCAGCTGTGGACCGAGTGCCAGTGGGCTGGCTGACTGACCAGACCGGGCGGCTGGTCGTGCTGTGTTGTCACGCGTTGTGTACCGGGGATGGGAGGGGGCTGTGTCGCCACATCGGTATCCTTAGCAGCTAGTGTGGCGGTGGGGCCGACACACTTTTGCGTTCATGTGCTAGTACAAATAATCGGTGGTCGGTCGAGGCCGGCCACACTCGCTTATCATGCCAGTTACGTACAGTTGATTTACGCACCGTTTATTGCCCGCGCATGCCGAATCAAAACGTCTATTCTTGTTAGGGCTGCTGGCGCGCGCCGTTTCGGCCCGCTGTGAGTCTGCCGCCGGTGGGCCGTGCAATAATTTGGTGACGCGGCCGGCGGGGCGCTGGGGCGCGCGGGCGACCCGCCGCCGCCCCCGCCCACACCGGGCGGCCGGCCGCTGATTGATCCTGAGTTGACGCCGACGGAGATTACGTACGTACCACATATATCCGTGAATAGTGTATAGCCGCCGCGGCTGCGCCCATTTACATGACGTGTGATAATCGAATCATTTATCTACTTAGCCTCGCGGCGGCCGCGGGCGGCCCAGTATGTATCTGTTTTCTTAGCCTGTGTAGCGCGCCCGGCGCCGCCGAGGCCAGTGTGGGCGACGGCCCGCCTTGCGAGTGGGGCCGACGGGCCCGTGCGTGCGGCCTGGCCAGAGCTGTGTCCGTACTGTCCTGTGATCCAATATATCCCAGACTGTGCATGGCGGACGGGTCTGAAGCGAGCAAAGGAGGCGGTGGAATTGGAGAGGTTTATCAGAGGATCTGGCTGGAAATGGCACACGTAAGCGGGTTTGTGCTGGTGGCAGCTTGGTTGAAGCAGAGCGTTTGAAGTTTCCGTCAGTATTTCGTGATTACCTATTTTCCATTGCCTGACAAGTTCTACGTACCACCTTGCGGTGTTAAAAAAGTCAATCAAATTTCAGTCTCAATGAATCAACCACAAACACCAAAATACAAACATCAGTCACTGTATTTGACCAGATCTCTCACTAGAAGCCATTCACCAGCCCGGGTCGGTGCAGTGCTCGCGGTGCGGTCGACATATAACGTGCGGGGCGTCTGAGCAGAGAGGTGCAAACGGTTTACCAGACACCCGGGGGTGGTCACGCACATTAGCAACACAAATCACACACGATGGAAAACGGAACAGCCGCGTTACAGTCGACCCGGCGCGGTTTTACACAGACTGCACTAGGTATGCGGACACCACGGCGCACAAAGGATTACAGCTAGCCCGGCCGGTGTTCACTGTGCAAAAACAATCACTAAAACATAATTATCAATCACGGTAAGTCATATACACATCATGAGCCAGCCTCGTAACCGACGTACCAAATGGTCACCGATTGACCCCATCCCCCGGTCCCCGCCAGCACCACAGGGGACAATAAAAAGGCATCACTGGCATGGTGGCAGCCCCAGGCGCGACGTCGGTGTCCGACAATGACGGCCCTGGTCAGTCGTTTGATCATCTGACACTCCCTTCCATCCCCCAGACGCATCTACCCGATATATCCTGACCAGTAAACACCTCGCGGGCGACAAGATCGGTGCTGGCACCTCCCGAACATCACAGGTGACGATCAATCGGCTGAGAAAACGAACACAGTTCCGAAGCAACACTGTAAGCCTAATTTCCTTTTTAGTTCAAACGTTTTCAATCTTTCACAAAATAATAAATAACTAGGGCCACCAGACATGTGCGTGGATCCCAGTGATGGATCTATGATCTCAGTGGATCTCGAAGCAAAGTACATGTTGGGATCTATGATCCCACCGGATCCGGCGTGAAAAATACATCTTGGATCTATGATCTCATATGATCTGACGATAAATTAAGAACATGGATCTATGATCTGAGTGGATCCCACCAGGCACCACATTTGGAACCATGTTTTAAAGGGTTTCTATGCCAATAAGTCACACAAAACTATGGATTATGACGTGCGATCACATAAAATAACTAAAACAGAACGTTTGTGAGTTGTAACAAGTGCTTTTTTGGGATTTATGTGTTGACAAAAATAAGTGAGGATCTATGATCTCACTGGATCTCAAGCAAAAAATGAGACTCGGATCTGTGATCCCTACGGATCTCTCGATAAATTACAGAGCTGGATCTATGATCCCGTCGGATCCGAGATCAGGATCCGTGGGATCAGATCCCAGATCCATTTTCTCGGATCCATGCACATTTCTGAGGGCCACACATAATCACAAATACAATACACACCATTGGGTAGACGACGCTGACTTGGAAGAACCATGTAAGATGAGGTATCTCTTCAACACAGCATTCCGACGAAGCAATGTGGACAGAGGTGATTTGTCGTAAACTATTTTACCTGCGGCACAGTCGTAGAACATATGAACTTTGATTGGTAGAAAAAAAAAACTGTGCGTAACCAGCTGCGCGAATTTCAGCTGAGAGCCACTCCAGTTTCATTGTTATTCTTAGAAATTGTATCAGCTAAGGTCTCGTGATTGTCAGACACATTAAAATCAACTCCCGAGCCTGAGACCTTCAAAGATAATTACAAAGTCTTTGGAGGACGGTTCTGGGACCCGACTCCCACGAGTATGGATACCACAATCACAGTCCAATGAAAGCCGCATTGCAGGCGACATCACGGCACTCAAACGCCGGCATAGAACGTGCCACTCCATACCGGGCAAAAGGAAGCGGAAACTCATTTTCCGACCCTATCATTGAAATCCGAACAGTGCCAGCCGGGACTTCAAAGCTCGCCAGACGACGATTTGCGGCACGCAGCTGAGTCACTTTGGCTTCAGCCGAGTCTGCCATATGTCAGTCTTGGAGCCTGCTGATGGTCGGCCCTAACAAGACCCACTTGTTATACACATCAGCAGCTGCAACCCCAGGCAGTGGTCTGCTTTTCCCCACCTCTCACAGAGTCCTGTGCCGGCAGAGCTCGAGCACTCCCTCGTCTAGGTGTACCGCTCCAGGAAGTGGATGACCTCGAAGCCGACCTCGACCATGATGAGCGCGATGATCATCCACTCGAGTCGCACGTGGTGCTGATCGGCCAGGTTGGTAGTCAGCATGTCGGCCAGCTCCACGCAGTGGTTCAGCTTCTCGTTCATCACCTGCATGTGAGAGAAGGAGACGAATTAGGCTTTTCGATAGCGGCCGTTTGTGACGCCAAGACACGGACGATGCGTGCTGGTACTTATGAGACTTATGAGAGAGTGAATGTAGACGACCACAAAGATATTCACTACGTTTCAATGACACGTCTTAATCGATTTAACGAGATTTCACGTGTGATTTTCTCGGATACCAATCCTCAAGCTAGTACCTAGTCCAGCTATATTTACAATTTTAAATGATGTCTAAACGATATGATGGAGAAAAACCATTTTGCAAAATCGGCTCATCTTGTGCCATGGAAACGCAGTAATTATGTTTACTCTCACCAAATTATAGCCACGCCTTCGTACGGCTTTCATTGAAACGTTAGCAAACTAAAACACATCAGCCGAAGAAGTTGGTCATACCATGAAGGCAAGCTACTGACCCTGGTGCGCTTGGCGATGTTGAGGTGGTTGCACGTCTTCTGGTAGAGGCTCTCCAGGTTGTCCTTGTCCCAGTAGAAATCGGGCGTGTCCAGACAGTCGGAGCTGAGGTTGATGAGGTGGCGCAGCCCAAACAGCTCGCCGTTCTTCTTCAGCACCTCCTCCTTCTTCATGCTGATCCGGCCGCCCTTCTTCAGCTCCTGGTAATCAGAACAGCGGCAGGTTAGGACATCCGCGCCAGTCATCTTGACAAAGGCACCATTCGTACAATTTTATGTTAAGCTATTATACAAGCAGAAAAAAGAAACACGAAACATTTTGTTTTCTTCCTTTGAAGTGACTTATAAAGAGCATACGTCAGCGTTTTGTATCACCACTGGCAATAAAATACGAGGCACAGTCGCCTTAGCAATCATGTGATGAAAAAGAACAAGGAGTGGTCAACAAGGTAAAACATCGTTATCGCCGAGAAGCCACAGCCAGTGAGAAAACATAATAAAAAAGACGCAAATCGGCAGCAACCAGGCCCACCAGAATTCCATCCATTCACATCTGTACCTGGTCCTGCATCTTACATCGTCTTAACTTACGTCTGTGACGAACCGGATGCTGTCGATGTAGCGCTCCAGAGCCGACTCCCAGATGCCCAGTTTGACGGAGAGCGCCATCGCGTTAGAGAAGGCGTACTTTTCCAGGTCGGTGGAGCCCTCCATGTTGAGCAGAATGCGTCCGTTCACCAGACGGGTCTTGTTGCTGCGAATGGAGATAGTAGGGGGTTGTAGTAGCAGTGGGAGCGGTACGTAACGCCGCCCGGTAGAGGTGGCGACGGCAATTAGAGGACACCACTTAGGCACTATAATAGCTATATAGAATACGTTGACAAAATTACGAGCATTGAAAAATTTCATATGTTTAATTGTCGATGCTTACCAGATGAGATAAATAATTGATATATTCAGCATTGCCAGGTTACGAACCATAATTTTCTACCTTATGATATCATCAGACATCAGCTGCAACATCAGTAAGTTAGTGGCACTGCAAATGTAAATGTTCACATTATTCGCCTTTGTCCCTCACCCGCCCTGCATCGCCCCGGCCCCCCGGTACTCACAACACCTCCGTGTACGAGTAGGGCATGCTGTCCGACTCCTCCTCCACCGTCTCCTGGTCGTAGCTGCCCTCCTGGAACTGACGTATAAACTCCAGCACCGAGCGCCGCTCCAGCTCCGGCACGTTCCAGAACACGACGGTACCCTCTCGGAACAGGTAGATCTCTCGCGGCTCGGCGCCCAGCGTGTAGCGCGCCGCCACGTGCAGTACGTCGTGAACGTCTGCAGCGGGGGCGTGCTCCGTCAGCGGCGGCTGCCACAGCACGCCGCCGCGGCCGTCTGTCCGACACAGCCGCCCGCCCGGTCAGACCGACACACTACCTCCGATCGACGAGTCCCGGCGGCCCGCGCGGACCGGCGCGGCCGGCCAGCGGGGCCAGTGCAGCTGCAGGCGGCGGTGCGCGGTGCCGGGGCAGCGCGGGCGATAGTGAGAGATCGATTCAAGCGTCAGGTGGTGAATGATACCATGGCAAGCAAACTGCAGGCAAAAATAAAAACGATAGCAGTCACAAAACATGTCGCGAGCAAGTCTGAGTGGTGCTGAGAGGCTTAGATGCAAATCGACCACACTCAATCAAGGTTGTGCAATTATGCAGGAGGCTGCTGCATGACAAATCATTCATCACATGCACGTGCTGTGCAAAAAAAAAAAAAATGCCAAGCAATGCGAGCAGAACACAACACTCGCAAACGTTAGGCCTGAGGTAGCATACGTGTCTGCCTCATGATCGACGGCGTGCTTCAAATTAACTCCCAATGGCTCATAACCACACATGTCAGCTCTATCATTTCAACCCGTGACAACATATAACATCCCTCCGGTGACGCCTTCAACAAGACGCGGTGTAAACTTAGAATGCATCAATGCCGTGAATCTACCCTCCAGAGCACGATACCAAACATGCGTCGCGGCCCGTATTCGGCGTGATGATATCCCTGTCAGTGCCATTGGTGCAACTGCAGACTGGTGACCACTGGGGTACGATTGTTAGCCGGGCCGGCCGGTGAGCCTACCCTCCGACATGGCCGACGGGTGGTAGAGGTTCTGCTCGCGCAGGCCCTCCATCAGACTCTCCAGGTTGTACTCCTCGGCGGTACTGTAGGCCACCACCTCCATATCCTGTCGGACGAGCCGACATCGTCAGAGACGGGCGACGGGAACAACGGAACAAAGGGAGAGCAGACAGCGTGAGGGCTGTCAGAATGGCAGGGGCGTACACCAAATCATACGGCAGGAACGACATACAACAACTAGACACCGATGGGGAGAATTCAACCACTTCGTCTATCTGGCTGAGAACCAAGTATTTGACCGAAGGAAAAGAAAGAAATATGGGAAACGCCAGCATCAGAGGTCATACTCATAACATAAGCCTTCACAATGTCACGGGCACGGCAAAATTTTTCACGGTTTATATACAGAACGCGGATGATATAAAACAAGCAGTGGATGAAAACCGGACCAATAGATTCTCGTTTATATCTCAAATTTGATGTGAAAAACACGGAGCGGTAATGGTAACGATATTCTTGGATCTCCCAGCCACGGTCGCATAATATTCGCGATTTGGCCATTTTCATAGGCATGTCGGGGATTTCATTTTTATTGTTTGTTTCATAATGCGTCTGTCGCTCAAATGGAATATCAAAAGACTGACCATACTACGTAGTGGAATAAATGAGGCATGCTCGTCAATAGCTGACGTTCTTGTCAGAAGAATCGTTTTATGCAAAGCCACCAACATGAAATCCTGACGCTTAGCTGCCGTGCATGACTGAAAACATGTTTTCAGTACATTTATCTGACTTTCTTATTCTGAAGCCAATAATGTGGCCCAAAAAGATAGAAAAGCTACAGCCCCTCCTTCACCAAGCAAGCAGAGACTACCTGAATGCGTTTGGGAAAATTAGTACCTCCACATAATGAAGACTAATGAGTTTGTAATATTCTGCAGGACAGGATAGCCATGTATTCCTTTTAAAGCCACCTGAAATACGTCCCATGTTATGTCCGAATGTGAACACTGAGCAGTGCTTACTTTGTGCCTCTTCCTGGTCTTGGACGGAGACACTTTTTGGTACGAAGGTGGGCACGAAGGTATATCAAGCTCTGAGGAGAACACATGGGACACGTGCGCCTCCCCTGGCAGTGCGTTTGCGCGCGTCCGATCTCGTACCAACAACTGTAATCAGACAGAACCCAGGCTGCAAAGAAAAGCGACAAACACCCGCGCAGGAACGGGGAACAGCTGACGGCCTGAAAACGGGGCAGCTGCAACAATTGTTAAAGTGCTGAGTAAAACCAGTGCAAAAGAAACCAGTCATCGACACTCACATAAGATGAAATGAAAATAGAATGAAATAAGTTATAATGTTGCAGATGTAGCTGCATCATTCATAGGCCAAACATGCCCGCCGCCTTCAGGCATCCCAGTGCAAGGCAAAGGTGGCATGATTCCCGACTGTCCCGAACGAGAGATAAATTACTTGCTAGATAGTAAGGACAAGGCGGGACTCACCTCTTCAGCGCTCGGCTGTTGGCGCGTCTCCGTGTCATTTTTCACCACGGCGCGTTTTCTCTGAACCCGCCGTTTGGAGTGAACCGCCGACAGGTCGAGCTCGATGGCCTTCTTTCCCTCAGAGTCGGAGGCCGGGGGCGGCGGGGGTTCCGTGCGCGCGGCGGCGGCAGCAGCGGAGGTGGACAGTGGCGCGGCGGACCCGAACCGGCCGATCGCCGTCTGCACGGCGGACGGCCGGGCCGCCAGCGGCAGGCAGCGAACCGCCGGGGACAGGCGGCTGGACACCGTGCGGGCCGCCGGGACCACACGCGCCAGACTGGCCGTCACACTCAGCAGGCGGCGCATAGACATCGTGTGTGCCAGCTGAAATCAGACACACTCTGTCATAAGACAATCTTAGGGTGGATAAGACAAAAGACTTACAGCATCCATGGAAATCCATGGTCATACAGCATCCATGGAAATGCCAAGCTCATACAAGCATCTTGACCATGACTGCATGACAGAAGATAAATTACACCAGCTTGTTGTGTGCAAGACAGGTACAAAACATTGGAAAACCTTCTACCATAAAACTGTATGCTTTGTTGACATTTGTATTTTTGACTACTACATTTTTCCTGTCACTGTCACAGCAAATTAAATTAAATAATTATCAAATTAAATAAATTACAGCCCTTGTGCAGGAGTACACCAGAGTGCTATTTGAGCCTATGTCCTACTTGGCCACTGTCTTTATCACATTGCTGCCAGCTGCCAGTCTACTGGCTTTTCATTTGGCTAATTCATGAGGGGCATGCAGTCCCCCAATAAGAGGCAGATAATTGCCATCAAGAACCTTCCATACATGGGAAAATCAGCAGCATACTGATAGTTATGAAACCCAAGCAGAGGTCAGAAGTCCTGAATTTTTCTCATATCATCTGCTTGCACAAATATTTTTTCATTCATCTGTGTGCCTGTGCAGCAAAATCTCAACACACCAAGTCGTGCCACAAGCTGCACTAAAATTTAGGCACAATCTGTCTGCCTGTTATGCTAGACATGTCAATGGTAATTGGTAACATGATTTTTTCCAGCCTGGCTCTCATGGGGCCGCAGTAATAACTGGATTATTTGCCACCTTCCGCCGTATGGTGGCTCTAGCAGAGCTTGTTATATATTAGTGCTATATTTTAAAAAGTACTAAATACCTATCTATGGATTTATATATTAGTGCCCTTTTTGTGTTTATCTTCATCTACTTCCGTGTTTATATTTGAAAGCAGGGTAGCTATTATAGGTACATCGCCAGTTGGCCAGCCAGCTGACCTGAGGCCCGCTCTCATGTACTCGCATCCAGCTGAAAGTATATTTCATCAGAAGTAAAGACCATGACAGTTCATAGCCAGTGAGTCTGAAAATATTAATTTTCTTCAATTTTGAGCATCCTAGTAGTAACATGATATTTATGGGACAATACAACAAGCTGAATTAAAGCCTGACTTATAAGATGTTAATGCTCAAGCCTTAATGGTAGGTAAATATCAACTTATATCGGCATAATGGCAGCTAGGGTTACATATGCATTGAAGTTCCCTGGCCCCAGCCTGTGCCAGTCGGGGAAACTATGGTAAAATCTGCTATTTTTAGCAGTCTGCTATTTTTGACAGAAGTCTGCCAAAAATGGGTACGCATGTGACGTCATCGTACCCAAATATAGCAGATTTGGGTACGGCCCCATACAAAAGCAGATCTGCACCCTAATTGAAGCAAATGCGCATCAAATGCCTGGCAGATTCATTACTAGAATAGTGCTGAGAATGTCCTCTGATATTTTCATTCAGATCCGACTATTTTCAAATAATGAATTTGAAAATAGTCGGATCTGAACAAAAATAGCAGAGATCACTCTCAGCACTATTTTCATCATGAATCTGCCAGCCATTTGATGCACATTTGCTTCAATTAGGGTGCAGATCTGCTTTTGTATGGGACCCATATCTGCTATATTTGGGTACGATGACGTCACATGCGTACCCATTTTTGGCAGATTTCTGTTAAAAATAGCAGACTGCTAAAAATAGCAGATTTTACCATAGTTTCCCCGACTGGTGCCCCCATTCTGTTATACCTTCTTAGTTTCTATGTTTATCTTCATCAAATATACTTACCAAGAAACTTTCTAACAAACAACCACTCCTCTCCTAAAGTCAAAGTTCTTCTTTTTCCCTTATGTTTTCCTCTTACCTATCTATCTTTAGGAATCTTTATTTTTTCCCCACGAACGACAGAAGGACGCCCAAATTCCAAACTAGTTAAATCTAGTTAAATCTGAATTTTGTCTCTAATGCGCCACATACGAAATATTAGAATAGTTAATTTGGCAGCTCCCAAAGAGTCCATATCATATTTTTTAAGAAGAGATTGCAGTATTCCCAAATTGTTATCATGTATAAGCTGTTCAAATGTCATTTGAAGTAAAGATCTGTGAAATCAGGCATAAATTCATTAATATTTTTCTGGGACAAATGAATACTTACTGATTTTCAGGTTCACAAAGCGAAAAATGTATGAAGGGATTTTGGACTGCTGAAGTTTTCCTTCGTGCTGACATCGGCTTGCTTTCAAGGTCAACTTCTAGTTTCTAGGTAGTTATCGCTAGCTGCCTTGATCGTTAGTTATCAAACGCGGCTCATTTGCCTCAGGCCCAATTCGTCGTCTCTCGGTTAGTAAAAATATTAAATCTGCCCTGTTCATGATTATTATGTTCAGTTCATGATATTGTGCAACATACTGGGTTCAAGTTTCAACTAGAAATAGGCATTACCTTTGATTGACGGAAAACAGAACAAGAACATAGATAACAAAATGTATCCCTTAACTGATGGCTGCAGGCTGTAGCCACGCACTTTTCGTCGAGGGGGGGGGGACTGGCGTGTGTGTGTGGCTGTCTTCCAGTGACTACTGTCTACAGACGGTTGTTGGCACGGTCGACGGGATCGGGCAGACAATAGACATCAGCAGGCCATGCGGGACCGAGCACCAGCGTTCACTATCACAAAATCTCCTGACTCACAAACTCACTGGCATGTTCCATAATGTAACCTTTATTTTGTTGCCCGGCTCTGATCAGCAGTAGTGCCCAACCGGTGACTGACGCCTGACGGGGCCTTCAACGGGCGTGGTGCAAGCACGGCCGATGGGATCGGGCAGATACCAGGCCACGCGGGACCGATTGCCAGCGTCCGCTCGCAAACCACACGCCGGAAATACAGGAATCACAACGGTCAATACGCACACGATAGCATACGTTATCTGAACTAGGGAATCCGACAATCCATAACCTCACTCTCGACCGGTGAACTGTTCCCGCCGTGGGAGAGTCACAATCAGGTTCACTGAACATGACTTAAATACCCTGAGACGAACACGAGACAAGATAAGTGATATTGAAGATGTTTAACTCCCGAAGACATTTAATCCTCGCCGGCCGAGGGGGGTTGGTGCCACCCCCTGATGGTTTTTTCGCGATTTACGCCGAAGTACGCCGAAAATTTCGGCGCAAGCCGTCAATTTACGCCGAAGTACGCCGAAAATTTTCGGCGCAAACGCCCAACTACGCTCGAGTTCTCGACGAAAGCGTGCATTTTTTCCAGTCGGGGCCCGAGGGTGAAGACCGAAACATGCTTTATTGCCCGAGGCGTAGCCGAGGGCAATAATGCTTGCTGCGGTCTTCACCCGAGGCTTGACAGGTGTGTTAGACTTCTAGAGGCCCCTGTCAACTGCAATAGGCCTCTGTTGGCTCATGGCTGAGACAAACTTGAGGTTCCAACTTCCAGCTGATATCTGGTGGGACCATATTGGTGTCTTAGGACTCTGCTTTGACCTCTCAAATTCTCAACGCCCTCATGCCCCATTTGGTAGGTGTTTGGTGACTATCACTGATCCCTAGTGGTTCCCATCCTGACCTCTAAAGCCTCAGGGCCCACACTGTGCCGGTGCGAGTAAAGCACACCATTCTGATGGTCACAAGGTGACCTCTGAGGCCTCTGAGGGATTACACAGGATTCTGGAGGCCTCAAACCAATATATCAGGACCACTTTGGCCTCTGGAAGTCATGTGCTGGCTTCTGAGGTTCCACATTTGCACCTACACCACATTTCAAGGGCCCTTTAACCTCAAAGGCCTCCCACTCAGGCCTCTTTGACCCTCACTAGCAGCTGAAGTTCCTACTTTCTGAGCAGGTGCAAGGGTCTCACTCTGGCCTGTAAGGCCCCATGTCAGTCATGTGCGGAGGGTACCAGTGCTGCAAAGGTATGCTCAAGCCTCAAATACATCGCACTATGACCTTGCCTAATGGAACGGTTGCACATTTTCTGGGTGGGGCTTGCCATCTGGAGAAGGTCTACTGGACCTGCTGTGCCCTCCAAATGTAGAAGGATCTGGCTATGCCCCTGGTTGCCTGTCAACTTTGTTGTTCCCCAAATCATAGCATTATCATAAGACAGTGAAAAGCAGTGTCCCATTTTTCAGACTTTTTGGTGGCAATCACACCTAATGGGGAAATATTTTCATCCCTAAAATATGAATGACCGACTTAACTTCATCTCTGAAAAGAGTTTCATGTATTCCCAACAGACAGTTTGCATGTCACTTGACAGTTGATACACCCACATCCTTTTGTTCCATACCCTGTCAAGATCCTGACATGAAATCCTGGTTTATCAGTTGGCATAAAAATTGGCATTACACCCTTTTGAAAAAATACTTCAGTTATTTACTTTCTTTTTCTCATCCTAGGATTTTTTTCTTCATCGGCACACCCAACCAATATCCAATTTTAGAACACTGGTGAAAAGGGATAATATATGAATCATTGAACATGTGCCGATGGGAGGGTGCACAGAGGCTACCCTAGAGGCATGGTACTGCAATACATGCCTACATTGTTAACTAACTTATGCCATTTTCAGTTTCCAAGAAGAGCAAAATCATTGGAGTTGTAAAATGTCACTCAATTCAGAGAGGTTTCCTCTGACTTCTGGACTCAGGAATAAAAACAATGAAAATGATGGATTCAAGGTTATTTTTGTTTGCTTTGTAGTTTTCAGCATTGCAATCACTGTTGCACTTATTGTGCAGATCCATTATGGAGAACCAGAGGTAAGTTGTTGTACAGTCACCTTAGTTTTATAAATATACCCAATGCTTCTGTATGCCTAGTACTGCTTTGACTTGTGATTTGTTTTTTATGTCTATTTTTGTAACAGCTGTATCTACTTCTCATGTGCAACTTGTAACAACAGTATACCATCTCCCTTGTCTAGTCCCGGCCTGCCCTCACGACCCCTTCCGTGTCCCAGATTGTGCCACACGCCGCGGTCTCGTCCGACCACCAGACGTGCTCTAGCATCGGCTCGACGCTGCTGCGGCACGGCGGCTCGGCGGTGGATGCCGCGGTAGCCGCCACCCTCTGCATGACGGTGGTCCACCCACACACCTGTGGTCTGGCGGGGTGAGCGGAGATTGGTGATTGCGTGCCGGGGAGGGCCGAGGTTGGATGGTTGTGTAATGTTTACGATGGTTCTGAGTTTCATTGTCTGGTCAGGTACGAGGTATATTACGCTTCCCGTCACATTTTTGACACTGTCTAAAATAGCGTTATTTATCCAAACACCTATAATGGCCGCTGCAGTTCTTTTCATAAGATGCCATTGTGATTTGTACTGACGTTTCCCAGCGGAGGCTTCATGCTGATCCACGACCACGCGCACAACCAGTCTTCCGTTGTGGATTTCCGCGAGTCGGCGCCGGCGGGCACGGACGGCGCGGCGGCGGCGGCGCGCACCGGAGCCCTCTCGGCCGCCGTACCGGGCCTGCTGCGCGGTCTGCAGCTGGCCCACGCGCGGCACGGCCGGCTCGCCTGGTCGACGCTGGTGCAGCCGAGCGCCCAGCTGGCGCGCGCTGGCACAGCGGTCAGCGCGCAGCTGGCGGCCGCGCTGGCCGCCCACCTGACTGCGGCCGAGGCGCAGGCGTCGCCGGGGCTGGCGCCGCTGGTGGCCGGCGGGCAGCTGCTGACGGCTGGGCAGCAGCTGGTGCAGCAGCGGCTGGCGGACACCCTGGACCTGCTGCAGGTGCACGGGGCCGACGGTGAGGAACGGGACGCCAGAGGTGGAGAGCCGGCGACCAGTACCGATGTCAGGGCCGTCAGGGCGTTCTTTAACACGCGCAGTGGAAGGGGGGGGGGCGGATTTCGCCCACCCCTCCTGTTTTTCGTCAATAACTCGCGCCGCAAACAAAATATTAATGTGAAATTTCGGCTACCTGTCCAGAATTGAATTGCGGATCTTTCCGTGCAAGAAATAAGAAAATCGGTTCACAACTTTTCTAGAAATAGCGGTGTAAAGTCAAACATCCTGCCGCGGCGGCCGGCGCTAGCCGTTACGCGCCGCCTGAATTGTAGACTGTGCCGGGGCGGGACGGTTACGTCTTTACATCGCGCTCCTTACCGCACATTAAATTCGCGTCAAATTTGGTGAGAAGACTGAGAAATGTACAGGCAATCATATGATCAAAGAATTTTGAAAATCGGCCGGTAACAACTTGAGTTATGAGTGTGTAAACACAAACTTGTGATTGCCGCGTTTCCCGCGTCGGCCGATCCCGCTTCAGCCGGCGACATCTTAGCCTTAGCAGGCTTCTAACTGCCATATTTATTGTTGGATTAACTAGAAATTCACCATACATACTCACAAATGTTTGGTCTTTCGTATAGTGAAAGAAAAAAGAAAATCGGCCGGTAACTTTTTGAGTTATCGGCGTGTAAACGCAAAAAAGTCGCTCATATTGCAAATTTGATCACATTTGACCTTATTTGACCTTGAAGATACTGACCTAGGGTAATGAAATTCACACACAACAGAGTTCCCCATGGCCCCCACCTACCCTCCAAATTTCGTCTTTCTAGCTCCAGTGGGAGCTGAGATCTTAGGGGGGGGGGGCGACATCCGCCCCCCCCCTTCCACTGGGCGTAGTACTCGCAACCCTTCCACTGCGCGTGTTAAGCTCCCACATCATTTGCATTAGGACCGAATGGAAGATATCGTTGTGGCTTTCAGATCATCCAAATTATGTGCACATTTACACAGCTGCTTAACGTTTTAAGCATCTCAGGATTCGATGTTTCTCTTTAACGCCAAGCTGCTGTCAGTTGATTCTCGTAGAGTATTGGCCATGACCTTTGCCCCGAAATGTGACCACCGGGCAGCGCTGTACAACGGCGTCCTGACCTCTGAGGTCATCACGGCATTGACCAGCGCTGGCGGAGTTTTAACTGCCGAGGACCTGTCCGGCTACCAGCCCTTGGAGGTGGAAGGCATGCTTCGGGACTTTGGTGAGTCGATGGCTCGACGCCACTCAGTGTTTTTCTCGATCAAAGCTCGAGTCGCCCGCATTTTTACCTGTCTGGAGTGCTGCAACTATCCATTGTCAGAATATTTTCACTTCACATTGATGTATATTGTACTTACATCGGTAGTATCAATATCGGTGTCTCGATATTATTGTCGAAAAGCGGAATCACTCCTGCGTTGTCTTAAAAGTAACATAGCTACTGAATCTGCACAGTCTCGGCTAAACATCCTAACTTCATTTCGATTCTTATTATTTATATGGCATATGTCAGACACCTTTATTCTAACAATATATTTCATGACCGGTACTAACAAGCAATTTTTATATCTCCCTCTCATTGTTCCTGTCAACTTCTCACCGTGGTCCCCCCCCCCCCCCTCCAGGCGAGTACTCTGTGCTGACCGCGCTGGCGCCGTCTGCCGGGCCCGCTCTGCTCGCCGCCCTCGAGCTGGTCTCCCGTCTCAACATCACCACCTCTACACCCGCGGCCGCGCGCTACCACCGGGTGACCGAGGCGCTCCGTCTGAGCATGCAACGGTTCGCACTGCTTGGGGACCCGCTCTCCACGCCCGCTGTGGCGAACGACACGGCAGAGATGCTCTCCGACGCCGTGCTGACGGAACTGAGCCGTATGGTCACCGATGGGAGTCTGGTTAACGACAGCGTCCTACCGGCCCTGGACACACCGGCCGCCACGCATGTGTCCGTTATCGATGATGACGAGCTCTATGTCAGCGTTGTTAGGTGAGTTGGAGTATGCGATCCAGGGTTTGCGAGTTGCTGATGCAAAAGACGATACTTTGAGATGTTCTGCCTAATGTGCTGTTTGTGCCTGCATAGTCATCGATCTTTGCAGTATACGGAAAACGCCTGTGTGCGCTTTTTCTATAACGTTTTATATTTAGGACGATTGAGCTTTCTGTCGGGTGATTGCCTATCATGTTTGAGGCGAACAACTATTTCATCCGTTGGCCATACCCTGCTCTTCTAATAATTGTGAACGGCTAATTATTCGTAACCTCTTAATAACTATTTTCTCGTTCCGTTTCCAGTGGCCTGGGCTCGTACTTTGGCTCCAAGTTCAGCACTGCGGGCGGCATCCTGTTCAGTAACGCCATGTCGGCCTTCTTCGACCCGGCGCTGACCCCAGAGGGCACCTCGAACGTGCCGGAGGGCGGCCGGAGACCGCTGGCCACCTTCTCGCCGGCCATACTCATGTCACCGAAGGTGAGACGTGCCTCAGTGTTCCGATGTATGGAGAAAGACTAATCGCCGGTCAGCCGTGTAAGATAAGCGTAATATGCGGTTTAACCCTCGCCCATGTAGGGGGGGGTTGGTGCAACCCCCCCCCCTGAGGCTTTTCGGAAATAGTGCAAAAACGGCGGCGCGCAGCGCCGCCAAATTTTGGGTACCTTATGGGGCAAACCTTGCGCATCTTTTGATAAAAAAAAAAATTTGACCAGGTCATGTCAGGTCACGGAGTTATGACGTCCAAGGGCTCCGCCACCGGGGGGGACGGGGGGGACACGTCCCACCCAACCAAAATGTTGGGTGGGATATAGTGTCTTTTGTCCCCCCCCAAAAATCTGTCCAAATTTCCCCTTTAGTTATTTAAACGTGTTACAGATTTTGTCACTCTAGAAGAAAGGGAACGGCCACGGGGTAAGCCTATGAAGGAAAAATGGCTAGCTGAGGATTACTTCATATGGAAGCGATTGCTTTCAAACTCCATTGCCGCCTTTTATTTCATTTTTCAAGTTGTGGGAGGTTAACAGGCTTTTGCCGTAATACGTATGTAATGTGCAAATATGTACCTACAGAGCTGAAAAAAATGGCTTGGCTGTCTCCAACTGTACAATAACAGGCTCAATTATGTCTCCCTGTCTCAAATTGTGCAGATATGACATACCACATAATACATATGTCATGGACAACATGGATTATACACATATGTACATTGGTTACATTGTTCTTTTGAACGTTTTCACCAAAATAACAGGTAACAATCGGCCGCCCAAATGGTAACAGAAATATCTTGATATTTTAATGCATGAACATTACAACTTGGTGTCAATGCTAACGCCAGCGGCAAGCAGCGTGATAGTGGCCGTGAAACGGTTAGGCGTTTTTAGACGGTCGCCATAGTGTCCGCGCCGGCGAGCGCCAGATGAAAGCGCCCATTGTTACATTTTATGGCACACAGATGCTACCATTGGGCCCCAATCCCATACTGAACGATACGTAAGCGAATGCAGATGTCTGGGCATCGCTCCGAGCGGCGAACAGCCTCCGCCCTACCCCATCCGGGCTAACCTGTGCCCGGGCGCCCAACATTTGTTGGGTGGCCTGTGGCCCGCGTGACGGGTCGGTGGTCAGGGGGCGCCGCCTCGCGTGGGTAGAGGTGCGAGGCGGCGTGGGCGGAGGCCGACGCTATCACCTGCAGTGTAGTGATACCCTAGCCCGCGCCGGGCCGGGGGGGGGGTGTTTGAACACCCCCCTTGCGGTTTTTCGCAGATATCTCAAAAACGGCGACGCGGAGCGCCGCCGTTTTTGACACACCTGTTCGTGCATCTTTTCCGCACTTGTTGTGAAAATTTCAGACCCAGGTCACCTTAGGTCAGGTCACCAGGTCACGCCAAGTGACCTCACCTCAGAAAAAATAAGAATGTTCGTCATAGCTACACCGACTGAACGATTGCCTTGAAACTTTCAGCGATTGATAAGAGCAACACTATCTATAAAATGTATATCTCGGAATTTTGATATCGGTGACCTAATGTCAGGTCAATTTTGCGGCCTCTCAATTATAAGTCAATGGGAGAAAATTGAAAAGCGTCTGTTTTGCACGAACGCTATTCTAGACACTCTCAAGCATCGAGATGTAGGCAAAATAGGCACACTGAACCAGAAAATGGCAACTGTGACCCCTCGTTATGTCCCCGAGGTCATCTCAGGTCACGAACAGAATCTAACAGTTTTTCGATGATAACTTCTGATAGAGGCGTGCTAGAGCGCTGAAAACGCCTTAGATGTGTTCGGCTCGACGTTGCAGATCGACTGATATGCAACATGACCTTTTCCGGTCAGGTCATGACCTTGACCTGAGGTCAAATTTTCAAGTTGACCTTTCAAGGTCAAATTATAGTTCATTCGACGCGTCTCGACGAGAGGAACACGATGCTGGCAAAAGTAATGTCATAGCTCTTTTGAGTCAAAAGTTATTGCCGAAAAAACGTTTTTCGTTAAAACGGCTATTTTTGGAGTTTTTGCCCTCTAGAGGCTAAACCGTTGACCTGAGGTCAAATCTGAGAACATTATTCAGCAAGGTCTGTAAAAGGGCTATCGAATGCGCTTTTTTGCGGCGCTGTAGCTCTATCGGTTCCCGAGATAGCCGTTGGCAGTTTCCAAAATGTTGAAATAGTCAACATTTTACCTTTGGTGACCTCTGGTGACCTGACCTTTGACCTGACCCAAAAAATGACCGAAGTGTTTTCGTCCTTATTTTTGACGTTCTTTCGATTGCCGCTTACCGCGTGTCGCTACGTGGCCCAGGAGCCGAGTTAGAAGGGGGGGGGGGGTGTTCAGACACCCCCCGCGGCCCGGCGCGGAATCTCAGAGCACCGGCCCGGCGCGGGCTAGATTGTGAATATCTATATTTGTGATGTATGAGTGTCAATCAGATGGAGGCATTGAAGCTAGCTGCAATAGTTTGAGAATGTTTGGGGCAGGGTAACAAACGTTTGCATTGAAGCGCTGTTCTCGTAATGGCCAACATATGGTGAATAGGTACATATCGTGGTATCGACTGGTCCTTGTGGATGATGCATGTAGAGTAGCTGATTAATTTATCCCGAGTGCAATAACTATATATCTCTTTGCTTTTGTATAAAAGGTGACAACAACATTGTTTAAACTAAGGTGTTATGTACATCTTACCATCAGCAAACGATTCAAAATAAAAATTAACTGAATTCGCAATTGAATTCGCGACAAGTAGATGCATGCATGTACCTATTCATGTCTGGGCATCGCTCCGAACGGCGAAGAGCCTCCGCGCTACCCCATCCGGCCTAATCCGTGCCCGGCCGCCCAACATTTGTTGGGTGGCCGGGCCGCTGGCCACCCGCTATTCTTACAAGTTACAACCGTCTTTGATTTGCGAGACCGCCCCCCCCCCCCCCTCCCCCCTCCGTGGCGGAGCCACTGGGCAAACCATTTTTTTTACTCTTCTTAAAAAAAATAATCGCGCCGGGGCTATGACGAAAAATAAGTGGCCTAAATCCAATGAGAAAACAGGATTTGGGGGTACCCTAGGTTTAGAGGACACACAGGGCGATGAGCGAAGAATTGTCCCCCGTCCCCCCCAACCAAAAGTCCGTGGCGGAGCCCTTGATGACGTCACAAAGGGAACAGCCTCCGGCCGGATTTTCACAAACTGAGTGCCAACGCCCGAGGTTTCCTGCCGGTGGTACGGACATCGGTTGATGGATCGTGATGAAACTTCCCATGCATGTTGGGGCAAGTATTGACTATCATATGGTATAAGAAACTTGACCGGGTCAGGTCAGGTCACGGAGCTATGACGTCACAAGAGGAACAGCGTCCGGTACTATTTTTGAAAAGCGCCCGAACCACTATTTTGCTAATTCTTGTCACCTCAATGGGAATATGCAGCAATATTAGCTTCTATAGGGAGCAAATGGACCTCCCAAATCCAAAAATACAATCAGATTTCAAAAATTTAAATTTTGATTTTTCGAATTTCTGCCGCCGACTGTGACCTTGCCGACTTCCGGCGCTCCCAAGTCCCAACGCGCTATTTTTAGAGCTAAGGAAACGAAATACATACCAAACGATAGAGAATTGATCAAGGAACACGATAGTGAAGGTTTCAAGTCGATATCTCCCACCGTTTTGCCGCAATCGCCGCGGAAAGTTGAAAAAGTCTGTTTTTCCGAAAATTTGACCTTTGACCGGTCAAAAATAGGTCAAATGTTGACCTAGGACCAAAAAATATACCACCAATCGCGAGATCTCAGCGAGAGCAATCCGTTGGTCTTTTCTGCTAAGCTCTACGACGCTCCGTTTTCAAACGCCAAGGGGGGGGGGGTCGCACCAACCCCCCCCCCCCCCTGCATGGGCGAAGGTGGCAGATCGCCGTTTACGGGCGAGGGTTAAAAAATGTTTCATGTTATTTTCATTGTGTCATGCATGGCATTATTTTTGATGCCATGTTGCGTATCTTCAGCAGTCTACACAAGCTTTCATCTCTTATCTTTACCGATTGATACGACTTTCGAGGTGCTTAAAAAAAAACTGCCCAGCATTTCCGCCTACTTCCCTATAAGACGGTCATCCTCTGTCCTGTTTATGCCCTGGCCCTCAGGACGTGTTCACCTGTTTCCATTCAGCCGTCAGTCTAACGCACATACTGTCACAGCTGGGCGATGGCCAAGATGTGTCTCGAACCCAATTCACCTGTGGACACCTGTGCATGGCGCCTTTTCACGGCCCGTGGTGCCCAGGGGCCGGTCAGCTGGCGTATGTGTATGGGGCATGGGCCACCTGACAGCTGGGTGGCTTGGACCTAGAAGAGCACGCATGTTGATTATGGACGCCCACACACAAAAATAATTACTCGATGTATAAATTATCCATTGCTACCAGCAACAAAATATTTCGATCCCTTCCAATGCCGCTTTCGCAGTGGACACGACAGCAGATATATATGCGGTGTTCATGTGCCTGACGTTGTTTGATATATGATTTTTATCTAGAAAGGCTCGTCTCCACTGACGCCCCTCGGCTGTTGTTTCCGCCCATATGCACTCCTTATCGAGTGCAAAATATACCGACAACAATCGGTAATATCTCATTTTCTCTCCCCTCCTGGCTCCTACCACCCGTTACCGTCTCTCAGAACTCACAGTTCTTATCTCTAACACCAGATGTCTCTGCGCCGGCAGGTCTGCGGCCGCCGGGTAGTGACGGGTGGCAGCGACGCCACGCTGCTAGCCCAGGCTGTGCTGCGGCTGACTGACCCAGCGCTCAACATCACCACGTCGCTAGAGGCTCCGAGGCTGCACACTGCGCCTGACTCGGTCCAGCTCGGCTTGGAAGGTAAGTTCAGGGGTCCAACGCGACCTGGAGGGGTGGGTTGAGTCTTTGCACAAGTAGTTACCGCCTTATTTGCTGGGACTTCTTGCTTAATTTCATGCAATGCTCTGCTTAAGTATGGCTTATCTGTAGCGCCCTTGCTTGCGGTTTGTTTTAACGCTATCTATCTCGTTTTAGTACCCGCCTTGGTAGTATTTATTTCCTGTTACCCATGATCGTAAGAATCATTATATTCCGATAGTACAATCAATAAAGGGTGATCTAGCTAAATACACTCGATTTGGGCAGAATAATTGATATAAAAACACTCATTATCATCAATACAAGTAGGCACAGTCGGCTCTACCGTCCCCCAATCATTGTCATTCTGAACTTTCCCCTGCGAGGCTACGGGCACGGTGCGGGTCATGTCGCGGCGCTGCGCGGTCCCCTAACGCGGCGGTCTCTGCGGCCAGCCGACCGGCCGATGCGTGTCCCGGAGCCGGTCCTGCAGCAGCTGAGACAGCTCGGTCACACCACTGTCGACGAGCCGCTGCCGTACCCGAGCTGTAACGCCATCACCAAGCTGTACGACCAGCTGAGCTCCCACGCCGACTCGCGCGGCGGAGGCACCGCCGTCCGGTTCTGAGGGGGTGGAGAGGGAGGAACGCGACCGGTGGTGCTCGGAAGGACTGCTGGAGGAGGCAGGAGAGAGTGAGAGAGTGGCGGAGAGGGCGAGGGGAGGTCGGATCAAGACTCGACTCGGAGAGGAATGAGGAACGGTTCAGCCAGCGGCCTCTGGCGCCCAGCGAGCGGCGGCAAGGTCGGAGTGTCTTCCAAAGACGTCTTCCAACGGTGATCAAATGAATCTCTGACGGATTATACACTCAACGAGTTTAGCTGTGTCATTCCGGCGTTCCCGTGTGTGTTTGCAATTGTGATATGTTGTTTTGTGTTCCTTGCTGTTGCATGCAACAAATTATTTTATTGTGTATTTATTTTGTTTTGAAAGAGAATGCAGGCATGCATTTTTTAAACTGCTTTAATGATCAAGAGTACTAAGCACGAGCTTGTGCATCTGTTGCCCATGTGTTTTTCTAAGGACGTGAAATCATTGTGGAAATTATTGACTCGCCTGAGAAATGTGGTAGTTTCGGTGCTTTTCTGCATTGCCTGGAATAGTTTATCCAAACCTTAGATCATCCTATGGTACTCTTCATTGGTAAGCGCAGTTTTGCCGCTTTGAAGCGCTTTTTAACAGGTGTGAAAATCAAAGAGCAGCTATTTTAGATCAAAGCTTCTATACTTTCACTACTTGCAGTCATTTTTTTCGTTGTTATGTTTTGTTTAGCCGTTACTGATTTCATGTTTTTAATGGTGCTCCTGAAGTTTATTGTGTTGGTGTGGGGATTTGGAGTACAATACATTATACAGGCTAATGAGGCAATTTGTTTCTTCTGTCCTGAGGAAGATAACGGAGCATATTATCAACCCGTATAACACCGGCTCTGATAATATGAGCCTAACCTACATTCGATGAGGTGCTTTGTCAAAAATGAATCGCTCGTTTTTTATAACCGATTTGCACGTATATATACAGTCACTCGAATACACTCAAGAGTCACTCATCGATATATTTCACAAATGCCCTTGAATCACTGTTACTGATCACATTCTCTAAACGTTACGGGTGTACCCATCTAAACACTTCCTCTAAAACGAGGCAAATCGGGCTGATGCGACTATGTGATATTGACCACCTAAAAAAGAGGAAAAAACGCAAGAGCACCTTGTCGCACTGCTATGCTTGATGCTAATGTGACACTTACCGGCTTTCCACCCTTGCATATGCTATCTACCCGTAGCTAGAAGTGCATGAGCAAGCCCCACCATCCCCTCACCCCACGCCAAACGCCCGCGTCTAGAACCCGTATCCGGACGGGTTTCCCGCGAGCTTCTCCTGGAGCACGCGGCGCCGGGAGCGGGCCTCGTCCCAGTCGATGTAGCCGCCCTCCAGGTGACGCTCGCCGACCTTATCCGACTCGTAGAGCGGCTCGCGGCCGTGCACCAGGCGCACGTTGTCGAACACAATCATGTCGCCTGTGGGGAAAGCGGGGGAGGGAGAGGTTCGAGAGGCCATGTCGCTTGTCCATGTTACTTGTGGGAGTATGGGGGCGGAGGGGTAGTTTTGGGTTGGGATGTCCGACAAACACTTTCTAATAGGGGAGGTCGAGCTTGGGAACGAGGTTCAGAGTGATGTTTTTGGGATGCAGCGTGACTTCATTTGATGCGACCTCGCGGTAAAATGTTACCGCATGCCGGATACTCATGAAATGAAACGCACACGTGAGGCCAGGTCCTGTAACATTAACCAAAAATGCATATCAAGCCATTAACCTTGGTTGATTTATCAACATGTATGCTCACCTTCATTCATTTTGCGTTTGATGATGTACTTTTCATCGTACAGCATGTTGAGCAGCTTCTTCTTGGCCTTGTACCAGGGCTCCACCTGGTCTAGAGGTACGGAGAAGTACGAGTCCCTCTGGGAGGTGGTGAACCTCAGACACTGCAGGGCGCCCTCCGAGTCGGTCCTGAGGGTCACCAGGTCAAGGTCACAAGGCAAAATGGAGCGATCTATCTAGCCAGTGTGTCAGTAAAATGTGTTACGGCGCAGTTCGCCAGAAATAATCCAAACATCAGGTATTGTTTATCGTATCGTACCGCCACGCAGGGATGCAGAGTCGACTGCTTATCGAAGACTCCAAATCCGGCTGTAAAAATCGACTTGATTCCAACTCTGACTCCGACTTCAACTCCAATTCCGGGCATTCCTGTGCAAGCCCTCATCACAGTAATAGAGCTCGTGTCTAAGACGCTTTTTATCTTGCCCGTTTAATCCCTTGCGCATTCCAAATACTTGCATTTCCTATATACCTGGCTAGTTACATGTAAACTAACTGCACCAAATTTAGGCTTTGGCGCAGTTCCCCTTTCTGCTTTTCAGCTGTCAAACTGAAATGTCCTTCCAAAACAGGGACCTGACCTTGGCTGCGACAAGATCTGTCTTTGATTGGTCAACAAACGTATTTTTTCGATAAACGGGCTTAGAGTATGACTTATATTGACTAACTCGCACAATTTCGACTCTGATTTTGGAGTCGGAGTCGATTAGCTCTTAGTGACTCCGAATCCGACCAGACCTGCCTTCTCTGGCCCAATTCTTCCTTGACTCCGCAGCTCTGTAGTCTGCACAATGTCTCGCACTTTCACTTACGTGATCACGGGTGCCTTGAGTAGTTTGAAGTGCGCCTGGCCGTTGTCGCTCTTGGTGACGTTTTTGAAGTCGACCGGCACGGTGGCGAGCGTGTGGAACGCCTGGGGGTCCTCCCTGCGGAGGTCCTCGCACACCTTGGCTCCGTCGGCCAGCTGCGTCTCACCGCCCTTACCCTCGTACTGGACAATAAAGTGCAGCAGCTGGATCTGAAAAACACGCAAATCGAATTCTGCTGGTCTGTCTTGAAACCGCACTATGGTAATTTGAAGTTAAATAGGCCATGGGTTTATCAGATTCAGTGACCCTTCAAACTAATGGTGGACGGCGGCTCAGGCTTGTTTAAACTATCCGAGGCCTTTGGAAGTTGAAGTATTTGCTTCTAAGGGTCACTCTGGATTAATTATTTTCAGGTTTGGTCTCTGTCAGAGATGACTCACGCCCGGCATGTAGTCGTAGTAGCAGGAGTCGGTATGGATCTCGATGTTGTTGCCCGTGTAGGCGATGCTGTTCGGGTCCACCTTCACTCGCACAGTGAACTCGTCACTGTGGGTGAATGTTTCTGGTCAGTCTCGACAGGGCATGGTCGAAAGAAATTACAAGTTAATTGGACTGTGGTATGTTACTGTGGGTAGTTGGACACATTGTCCGATGTCCATTTAGACTATGCATTTGACATCGAATGTCTATATTTGCCGTATGATATGTTCTGAATGCGCAGATAAGAAGTTAAAAGTCCAATGCCGATATGCCGCTACTCACCCATAAATTAGGCGGATTGTTGACATTGTTGACATCACCAGCCCACATCACACCATTCACTACCGGAGAGATCCGGTTTATCCGGTTTGTTTTTGGACTGGTGTCACCACGTGAGACGTTCCACGTGCTGGGAGTGGGCCGTGCCATGATCTGGTGACCACGCGAGACGTCTGGTCCGCTGTTCCGCGCGTCAAAGTGACACCGGGCTGGACAATGTCAGAGCGCGTGAAGCGGCAGACCGGCACTCAGTCGTGTGGCTATTTAATACACATTGCCGGGAACGGCCTTGTGAATGGTTCATCTGATCCACGTGGCGATGGGCCGGATATTTTATTTCAAGAGGGCTCGTGAACAGACATGTGCTTGGATCCGAGAGCTGGATCTATGATCTCAGTGGATCTCTCGACAAAATAGAGGGGTTGGATCTATGATCCGAGTGGATCTCTCGACAAAATTCAGGGGTTGGATCTATGATCCGAATGGATCTCTCGACAAAATTTAGGGGTTGGATCTATGATCTCTGTGGATCCAGCGGGCAAAAATTTGTGGAGGACCTATGATCTGTATGGATCTCACGACAACATGTAGCCAATGAAACCCTTATCCTACATAATTGTACACCTTACAGTGCAATACAATTGAGAATTATCACTTGTGGACATGGTTATTGGTTAAGACCACTTGTAATCATTAGGTATCAACATTAAATTTGAATTTAAATAAACAACATTTGTACTACATTTAAAATAAACCAAGAACATGCATATTGCTACTTTTTGTGACCAATTGTAACTTTTTCATGACAGCACTGATGACAATCTTATCAACAAGCTACAGCCACTTTAATTCAATGAACAAACAGTACAGACAGATGCAGTGGCAGCAGGGCACTGCAGATTTTCATTTCAATTTTGGTCCCATTCTTTCCATGCAACGCCAGTAGGGCTAATGTTAAATGCCAAAATCTATGGGGGGCACCGTACCCTGGTGCCACCCCCCCCCCCCCCTGTTTTGCCGCGTATGGACAGATGTTAGGAAATCAAACCTGGAAGCCAAATAGGTCAGTTTTGTTAAAAATAATCCAGCAATCCACTTCCCCCAGGTATGAAATCCCAATCCAGAATGTTCGTATGAGCTATTAGTATGTGCAACACAATTTCGATGTAGTAAGAATAGCAACCAACCTCTAATACTTTCCTAATAAAATTACAAGCTAAAAAATGGCATCAACTTCTTCAGATTACCTACTTTTGGCATCTTGCCACGTGTGGTCCGTGAATGTCGAATTCAGAATCATGTTGTTGAAATCAGAGGCGTTGAAATGGATTGATGCCATTAATTCATTCGTGTAGCTAATCTCCATTCCTTGAAATCTCTAGGAAAAGGCTGTAGACTTAGAGCGGACACGAACGTAAATATTTTGTTAGGGACCTACTATTCAACTTGTCTTGGCGAATGCCGGATGTCGGCATTTGAAGGTAGACCTTATCTTGAATCGCTTGGGGTAAAGAATGGTCGAGAATCTAAAATCGTTATTTCAAGGCTAAAGCAAGCCTAAAGTGTTATAGTAACTATGCAGTAAGTCAGCTCTTACCTTGCTGCAGTGCTGCATTTTGTTCACAAAGCCGACCCCGCCGGCGGTTATATGGCCTTGCCGCCGGCCCTCGGATTTAGGCGCTGCGGTACAGCATAACCTACAGGCGCTCACTACTAGCGACATCTATTGACTGGAATAGAAGTAGAGATACAATGCCCCGCAAGACTGTTTGCGGTGGTTGGGTTCGCAGTTTGAAACTTTAAAGCTAGAATTTGTTAAGTATTACCGAAAGTGTGATGATCCATATCTTTTCTCGGATTTTTTTTTTTTTTTTTGCGAACGATGTCCAGAGTGTTACTGTTGGGCGTTGGCAACACAAATAGCTAGAACAAATATGTGAGTATTGCCTCCTGCACCACAATTCCGCTCTGTAAAGAAATAACTGCATCATACGGCCGTCTGCCGTCCATTCGCAGGATCCCTTTCTCCCGCTCGCCCACTGCTCACCCGAAATGGGACGTCCTCATGAAGGCGACCTTCTCACAGAAGGCCCGCACGGCGCCGGGCCGTTTGGGCGCCCCCTCGAGCAGCACCAGGCCGTAGCGCTCCAGGTTCAGCAGCGCCTCCAGCATGGCGGCGTCCTCGCTCATGACCAGGTCGTAGGGGAGTCGCGGCAGGCTCTGGGCCATCTCGGCGCCCCAGGTGACTGTGCCCGGCCGGTGGAGCGCGGCGCGCTGCCGCTGCGGGCCCGGCTCGAACGCTCGCTGCCGCAGCCAGTCGACCGGGAACGAGCACGAGCAGCCATCCGACCACGAGACCGAGATGGACTGGGCGTCTGTAGAGAGCTGAGGGGACGGAGAGTCGGGTCAGCAGGGTCTTGGCTATCTGACTACGAAGCAGAGATGGACTGTGCGTCTGTAGAGAGCTGTGAAGGCCGTGAGGCAGGTTATGGGAGAGGTATCGAGTTGGAGCTGTGCTTACTTCGGTTATTATAAATCGTGGAAAGTTGTTTGTCTTTTTGTGTTGGTAGAAATCCGTTCAAAGTTTGGGTCATTTTCCGGTAGTAAACAGACTTCCATTGTTGCAAGTTCAATATCCAGTCGATCCAGATGATGCTCTGGCCTCGAATGTGCATTGGATATGTAGCAATAGTGTTCATGTGCATACCTGAGAGCTGCTGTACACTTAATACAAAATAGACCAAGTTTCCAAGGAAACGGCACGATAGTTAGATGAATTTACTTCATTCGTGTTAACGTCCGTTTCTAAATTTGAAGCAGTGAACGAACTCGTCACCGAATACGTCCGCATTTCACCGCCTCAGCTCATCAGTTTTGAATACCAACGCAGCTGCTTACCTCAGCCTTTGTGAGCGTGCAGTCGACGTCCAGGTGCTCCATGAGCAGGGTCCTCACGTGGATGGAGCCGGCGGTGTAGCACTTGCTGCAGTGACAGTTGTCTCTCAGCCACACGGCGGGGTACTCCGACTGTCCACCGTCTGCCCAGCGCACCAGCAGGCGACGGGAGCCACTCACAATGCTAGCCTCGCTCGCCATCTTGCTGATCAGCTTCTGTAGATATGTATTCAGCAACTCGCTCTGCTGTTTGTCCTGTTCAGCAGCTTGCTCAGCTGTTTGTCCTGTTTCCTTCTATCTTTCGGGCGTGTCTGGACGCTCCGCACGTTGTTTAATGGGCGTGCTCCGATGCGGTCGGGCCCGCTGCCGGCGAGGGAGTGACGCGACTCGCGGCGGGGTCGGCACGCCGGGAACGACGGCCCCGCCCCTCCGGCCGACTGCCTGGCCAGATTCCAGAGGTTATATTCCGTCGCACTCGTCATAGGGCCAGAGGGCTGTTGACACTGCCGTTGCTAGGTCAGCATGCTATATAATGTATATTGAGCTGAGCATGCTAGCTTCTACATATAGTTAGTTGTAGAATGTCCGGAAAACTATCTTCAGGTATGCCACCTACCTCAGAAGGCACGCCTTCAGCTTCATCAGATTCAGCACTGTGATAAGAGACTAGATTCAGATATGTGCATTGCATTGATGTGATTTGTGAATGAAGGATCTGTGATCTGTGGGATCAAAGCCCTATGATCTTTGTGGAGTTCAGACGAACATGAAGGCTGAGATAGCTGAAAAATATCTTCAGCTTTTATTTTGATATGATTAGATGAGGTGATCGTTCACATTCAGCGTGATAGTTTATCAAATCAAAATCTTTGTGTTTTATTTGACTTTGTATATCTCAGTAGACAGTACTTTATCACAAGCCCCTGATACGCTATGTTGTGACACGATCTTCCTGGACTCTCGTGGTCCGATTCTCGTCCGATATTACCAGTAGGTCACCGAACACGACCAACGGTAAATAGTAGCACACTCGGCAACGTATACCATCCCATGCCGACACTTCCGAGAGACAGCTATTGGGCCGCGCACCAGCAGCCACTGCAGGCTTATAGAGCTCCTAATGCACCAGATGCCAGGCTAGATTTATTGTCTGATAAACAAAGCTAAGTGTCTGTCTGTGTCGGGTCACGCTATGGCTGTCTCAAGTCTTGGAATTCTAAACTGTGGCCGATGGTGACAGCATTTGAGACGATGCACTTTGGCAACGCTAAGTTCGTCTTCCAATGTTTCTTTTTTTGCGTAAAACACAAATTTTTGATAATTTGTGCACTCTCCACTTTTTTACATTTTTCATTCCCTTCTTCAGAAGTCACTTAGGTAGTTATTTCAGCAACAAATCTTGCTGACACTGACAAATATATCTCAAAACACCTACAATGTGAGAGGGGGCGGAGCAAGGCCCGTGCTGAGTACCTATATACCTACCTACAAGCTTCCTTTGGCGATTGGCTCTGCCCTTTGAGATAATGTGTCGGCGGTTGCTGTGGTATCGAATGTGACTGTAGTGTGTGAGTCAGGCATTGCAGCGTGTCCTGTGAGCCCGCCGCGGCGTCGGCGAACAATGGGGCCGGGTCGTCTTCTTTACTTGACACCCGCCGCTGAGTGATGGCCGCCGCCGCGGCGGGCTGGTGTGGGGTGAGTGTGCCGGCCAGCCAGTCCTGCTCTGGCTGGCCGGCCGTGCGGTCCATATATACAGTCTACAGTTACACGTGGTTGTTCCCGTTTTACTTTCTACAAGCTATTTCGGCCTTACACCAGAGTGAAGAAGACGACCCGGCCCCATTGTTCGCCGACGCCGCGGCGGGCTCACAGGACACGCTGCAATGCCTGACTCACACACTACAGTCACATTCGATACCACAGCAACCGCCGACACAGATAACCTGGAAGACACTGCACTTAACCCGCGCCCCGTTGGAGGAGGGGGGGGGGGGCGAAACGCCCCCTCTCCTTTTCAGTCGATATCTCCCAAAGTAGATATCGCCACGAAACTTTCAGGACTCCTCCGGGCATCAATTTGACACCTTGTGAGTTGTGACCAAAAATGTTTCCAAAGCCTATGATATATTGGCCGTTACTGATGTCAGAGTGACGTCAATGACGTCAGAGTGAGGTCATGTTCTGCCGTTTTCGACCCAAAAAAGGTTTTGCGGGAAGAGCTGTCATGTCTACAGTTTTGGAGTTATAGAAACCATTTCAGAATAAAAAGTTGTAGGATTAACAGCGCTACATAAGCTATCTTGGATTTTTATTTTTTCCAATTTAGACCCCCAAAATTCAAAAAGTGATTCCTTTATATAATACACCCAAATAGCAATTTTTCTCAAAATTTTGAAAAAAAAACGCAGTAAATGTGAGGTATAGAACTATTGGTCTGCTATTGACATGCCAATTTTGAGCTCGATAGCTTCATTTTTGGCAAAGCAATGGCGAAAAAACTGCTTACAATTTATGACGTAAATTTTCGGTGAGCTGCATCGAATAGACGCTCTTTTTATGGAAAACATCAACTTTGAAATTAAACTTTTTTTACCTGGCGTTGACCTGACCTCCACCAGAACGGAACCTAAACCGGTCCTTATGGTCGTGTAATTAGGTACACCATTGAATTTGAAATGTAAAATTGGCCATAAAACATGCATCACACGACCTTAGTATAGTTGGGTCCATATTGGGACCCTTTGTGACCTGACCTCTGTGACCTGACCTGGCATAAGTGACCTCCTAAGCAGCATATGTGTGAGGCGACCACCGCTGCATCGCTGATCTTCGATAAAATGCCTTTTATTCGATGTTAGAAGGCCTTTAGAAGGTCGCATTCCTTAGAAGGCCCGTAATCGGTGAAAATGCGACCTTTGAACTGACCTGTGACGTCATTGGTTTCACCTAGGTCAACGAAACCTCATCACAATGTTATTCCCTGGTAGTGCTATCGAATGCCGTTTGAAATTTCAAAATCAGTTGGTAGGTTAACGAGATCTGAGGGGGAGGGCAAAACGCCCGCCCCCCCCCCCTCCAACGGGTGGTAGGTTCCGCCAATAGCACAAGGGGGCGCGGGTTAATACAACTCACCATCACATATAAATTAGAAACAACAGATTGTAGCAATTGGGCTAAGGACAGTGACCCGAAACGACCTCTATATTAAGAACCGCCGAATGGTGAGCGATACCACCTATAGATGGGGCCGTATAAGTGCACGCTGCGCCCTGCGATTACGTGACAAAGGATCGTAAGACAAAAGATCGTATGGAAAAAGATCGTACGAAAATGATCGTAAGATAAAGATCGTATGTTGTAAAAGATCGTACGGTAAAAAGATCGTAAGCAAAAGATCGTAAAGAAATTGATCGTATGCAAAAGATCGTACGAAAATGATCGTAAGATAAAGATCGTATGTTGTAAAAGAACGTACGACAAAAAGATCGTAAGCAAAAGATCGTAAAGCAATTGATCGTATGAAAAAGATCGTAGGAAAATGATCGTAAGATAAATATCGTATGTCGCAAAAGATCGTTAGACCAAGGATCGTAAGCAAAAGATCGTAAAGCAATGGATCGTACAAAAAAGATCGTAGGAAAATGATCGTAAGTAGAGGTGGCAAAATGTGGACCCGAGGACCCGGTCCAAAGAACCAGTCTGGACCCATATGGGTCCAGACCGGTTCCTGGAAATTTTCAGACGGGTCCAACCGGGTCCTACCATAAACTATACATCTTGCACACTGCAGGCGCGGATACAAGGGGGGGGGCATGGGGGCCATGGCCCCCCCCCCTTGGCCGATTTTTTTCAAAAATAAAATAAAAAGTTAAAAAGCTGAAAAGGGGGCCTCCTGAAAATAAAGTGGCCGAAATCCGATGAGTTTTTTTTTAACCTACCCACTTAGTTATTTCTTAGAAGACTAGCTGAGAAGACTTCTTTGTTAGAAGATTGGTAAAGCTTTTCATAACTTGGAGGTCTCTTATACTCACAGAGATGACCACTTTTACAGGGCCTCCTAACCTGCACAGAGGGCCTCCAAGCCTGCACAGATGTCCTAACAAACACAAAATCTCTTAGCCTACACAGAGGCCTCCACTCGCATCCGAACAAAGGGCCTCCTAGCCAACACAGAGGGCCTCCTAACTCACACAGAAGGTCTCCTATCCTGCACAGAGGGACTCCAAGCCTGCACAGATATCCTCTTCGCCAACACAGGACCTCTTAATCTCCACAGAGGGCCTCCACTCGCATCCACTGAACAGCTAGATAAGCTCAATAGACGCAGTTTTTTTTTGGGGGGGGGGGCCCAACAAGTGGGAAGATGGGGCCTCCAACAGGTGGGGGGCCTCCTGGTTTCTAATGGCCCCTCCCTTGGAGATTTTCTGGATCCGCCCCTGTGCACACTACACATCATTGCAAAATATGAAGTGAATGTTTCTTTGCACACAGTAGCTCATGAGTATTTTCAGTGGGAAACAGGCTGTTTTACATGATGCAACTAATGATTCCTACAAGAAGTTTGTATTAATTGACTTTTGGGGAACGGGTCCAACTGGTTCCGGTTCCAACTAAGACCGGGTCCGACTGGTTCCAGAAATGTCCGGCCGGGTATGGTTCGAGTCTGGTTCCAAAAATTTTCATCTTTTGCCACCTCTAATCGTAAGATTAAGATAATATGTTGTAAAAGATCGCTCGACAAAAGATCGTAACGTTACGTTCGTAAAGTAAATAATCGTATAGAATAGTGTTGTTACGAGCAAGCGAGCGCAGCGAGCGAAGCGAAGTCTTTTCAATATAACGGCTGGAAGTATGAGCAGAGAACTAGAAGCTGCCAGAGCGAACAGAGTGGCATGATATGGTCTGCGGGCCGCGGGCATTGAGCTTTCGTTAGGAGTCTTTTTAGAAGTCTTTTCAATATAACGGCTGGAAGTATGAGCAGAGAACTAGAAGCTGCCAGAGCGAACAGAGTGGCTGGGCATGATATGGTCTGCGGGCCGCGGGCATTGAGCTTTCGTTAGGATGCAGGCAGGCTATCGGGGAAACTGGCCGGGTGTTTGTCGTTTGAACGGCTTGTATTTTGCAATTTGTCAAAAGAAATGATCGCATACAAGTTGTTTGTGGTTATTACCAATAATGGACAATTGACATCTTTAACCGGCCTTCGATAACAATTACTCCTATAACTAGGATTGGATTGAAACTAGGATCCTATAACTAGGAGGATTGCGACTTCGATAGTGATAACGCGATAAACATCTGTTGATGACTCGTAAAGCGATGACGATTCTACATGAAAATGTAACAGTGCGAAGGAAAAAGTATTTTTAACGCCTTTTACTTCAGCCGCTTAAGCAACATTTTAACCTTCCACTCCAGGCGGTGGGGGGGGGGGGGGGAACATGGGTTTAGTTGTATTCACTTCAAATAGGTACATGAAAACGGCAGCACATCCATTCATTTATTCGGCACATATACAACGCGTTGCTTTCAGGTGTCATTGAGCCATCTAAGCTCTGAAATAACATCAATGTATGGTCGAGCTTACGACGGCCACTTACTAAGCGAACATAGAAATTGATAAGCTTTGTATGCGCTGGAGTTGGGCTGCACCATGTGCCATGTGATTGTTTGTTTGTTTTGTTGGGTTAGGCCCTTTCGGTCCAATGAGACCATTTCAGAGCCGGGAGGATGATAGGATATAGGGGGAGACATTGGTCTGGGCAGGCACCCTAGTGAGTCGCCGGGGCTGAGCCCGTCCAGAGGACAGGCCACCCAGCCCCAAGGCACTCACTGCACCCGGCTACGGGATGCGCTCCCTCGGGAGCAGCGGTGCCGCTCCAAGGGAGCAGCCCGCATGAGATAAAGTTGCCTGTCCAGCCCGGAGGGAGGTTGCGGCGTGGAGGAGAAGCATTTCAGTATCCTGAGGATAGAAGCACGGAACGGTGCCTGCCATGTGAATACCATATTTTGACTGTACGATCTTTATCTCATACGATCATTTGGCGTACGATCATTTTCCTTGACGATCTTTAGCGAACACGATCTTTTGTCCATACGAGCATTATGTCGTACGATCTTTATCCATTACGACTTTTTGGTATACGATCATTTTTCTTGACGATCTTTAGCGAATACGATCTTTTGTCCATACGATCATTATGTCGTACGATCTTTATCCATTACGACTTTTTGACATACGATCATTTTCCTTGACGATCTTTAGCGAATACGATCTTTTGTCCATACGAGCATTATGTCGTACGATCTTTATCCATTACGATATTTTGCATACGATCAACTGCCTACGATCTTCTGCCATACGATCTTCTGCTTTACGATCTTTTGTCCGGTTACCGCACCCTGCCGACCCGGTCGGCCCAGTGGCGCCACCTACGGCACCTCCTGGCTCCCCTCCACCTTCGCCAGAGAGCCCGCGACGCGGGCGGCGCGCACAGGCCGGTCCCCTCTCTGCGAGTGTCAGACGGTGCTCGGGAGGCGGACAGAGTCGCCATGGAGTCCGCCCGGAGCCGTCTGTCGGCCGTGGTACCGCTCCTTCTACTGGGGGTGGTGGCGTGGCAGCTGCCCCAGATCGGAGCCATGAGGTGGGTCCGGGGATGGAGGGGGTGGACTGCAGGTCTGTCAAGTGGGTTATAGAGGTATAGACTGGAGGTGCTAGTGGGGAGGGGTCCTAATTCGGTGCACTGGTGCTGAGAGGTGGATCTTGAAAGGCGCGGACAGGAGTAACTGCGACGTTGACGAAAATATATTGTCGCCACTTACACATTCTGCAGCTCATTCGCATGCTGAGGACTTCTGAATGTCTTGGCAGCTTGCAGTCGCTTTTGGTATGAATGATTTCTGAAAGGTACAGATCAAAGGAGCTGAGTTAAATGAACAATGGGGAATACCACGGATGAACATTGAATGAGACAAGTTCATAGGCCCCGAATGACGCACTTGTGGGCGAACTAGGGCCCTATAGGGCCTCACAGCCTATAGGCTGTGAGGCCCTATATGCTTGCTGCTTGCTGCCTGGAACAGCAAGCATCGGTGCTAGGTGCCTTGTTCTGGTAGCGTGTATCTGAAATGGCTGTTTGTCGCTGTTCCGAGACGGTGCTGCATTCGAACTGTTCGTGGTGGAGCCTTCTCGTATTATTGTGCCTTCCTTCCGTATATTCTTATGCGCGTCTCGTAAGAATGCTGTTTACTCGACGGCAAATGAGTTTGGGAATGAGATGGTGTCAATGAAGCCTTTCACAATTTCACGTACGCGTTTCTTCACATTTGAATGTGTCTCAAATGACTGGAGTGGGAGGGAGGAGGAGGGGGAGGGGTGGCTGCTGAAAATAACGTCAAGGCTACACCTAATGAACTTTTTACTTTCAATAATAGATAAGAATGGTAGGATGTCTTTAAATGAATTCATAATAAACACTCAAATATCGTTTATGTGATTTGTATTACCAAATGATGTATCGCAAAATTGCACCCGTAACCTCTTCTTATACCTCTGAGGTCATCTAAGGTCATGAAGGGTCACCAACATATTTTTTACTTTAACATTTGGTAAAGACATTAGAACATGTAGCATCTCATGAATGCGCTCAGCTCAATAATGCAGATCGAATTATATGCAGCATGACCTTTCCGGGTCAATTCAAAACGACCTGTTTTAGGTGACATTTTTAAGCGAACTTTTACGGGAAATTGTGGTTCATTCGGTGCGTCTTGACAAAAGAAATGCTATTCTTATAAGATCAATATCGGACGAGTTTGGTCTCAAATGTTCTGCAGAAAGAAAAGCACAAAAGTTTCAGGAGTTGCTGGTTGCTTGCAATTTGCAGGTCAAATCTTTCACCAGTCCCCAGAACAACTCTCAGCTCTCATCCACGAAAGATCTAAAAAAAAAACTATCGAATATTTTCTGTGATGATCTAGCTCTGTTGTTATACGAGCTATGATTCAGTTTGTCCAAAAATGTCAAAATTGGAAGCAATTGAACTTTGCCGACCTCTGATGACCTGACCTAAAAAACTGAGGCATTTTTTCATGAATTTTTAAAGCTCTTTTAAGTACCACTTATTACTATATACATGGCCCAGAAGCGGAGACAGCTGGGGCGTACCCGTCCTCCTGATTTATTATGCTCGGTCAGAGCTGTAACTTCCAGTTCAATAGGCATCAATGGACATTAAACGTTGCTTGATGGTGAAGAAGGAAGAGACGTAGGTATGCTCATTTTATTCTATTGGCCTATAATAGAAACCTGACCTGACCTGACCTTAGATCAATGCATGGTCGCTGACTAAGGTACACATTTCATTCATTCTATAGAACTCTGAGCCATCGTTCAAAAAAGTTCAATAAATTAAGCCATCGCTCAAAAAAGTTCAATAAATCGTTCAGCCGGTGTAGCTTAAGGTCGGCCATTCTGATGCTCCGTCTTGGGGCGGGTAGTCGCAGTTGACGTTGCCTGGTGATCTGGCCTTAGGTGATCTGAGGCTGAAATTTTCACAGCACGTGCAAAGAAGATATTTGCGAGATATGCACAGCATTTAGTAGCAAAAAAAGAGAGAAATATTCAGAGGGCAAGAAGTGAAAATCACCCCTCCCCCTGCTAGGTAGCTGCCTCAGCGCTTAGGTACATACGTTTGTCGCCAAGCAGGGCGCCATTTGATAGTGAATTTGCGGTACTGCGTGTCATCAATCTACGCTAATGTTTTGTGTATGACATTGGTGTTGTGGGAGCGTCAAAACAGTGTCAGCGAGATAAGTGATTCATTTATCCGTGACTGATAGAGAGGGATGCGAGTCGGTATCATTATGGTCTGATCTCATAGCTTAGCAATGTTCATTAACATGAGCCTCACACTTGTCGTTTATTTATTTGATGGGCAACCATGTATAGTAACTATTGGAAACGAGTTGATGACTGGTAGGCATGCAAGATTAGTGACAAATTATTGACGAAATGTGGAACTAGGAATGGGATCATGTTTAGGTGTCTTATTTTTGTGAGTTGGAAGCTCCTGCACAAATTTCGGAGCACTGAGAACGTTCGTTTTTTTGTGCCGTTAACTTTAGAATTGTGTTTGAAACCTGTTTGAAACTTTTTACAGGAAGTTTTATCATGCGCATTGCACAAGCTCTTTCAACGAGCCTGTGTCACGTGCCGAACTTGAACCTCATTCCCTCTGCTCTAAACTGGCGCATTTGGGCCTACCGGAACTTGTGGGCGTGGCATTCCTTTGAGTCGAAGCATCTTATAGCACATGTGGCTGGTTTGTGCATCTCCGAAAAAGAACAAGGTTTACTCTCGTTAGACTGCGCCCCGGTTCATCAGCTTCCGACTATTCAGCGGAGCACTTCTTCATTACTTGCTCGCATTCTTCCTTTCTTCAGCTAGGAAACAGCAAACTCCCCACAACAGGGAACATCATCGCTATCATTTTTCATTGGCTTTTGAAGTTATGAGATAACTACGGTTTTATGCAGGTAACGATGAAAACGAAGCTTTATGTCACCACGACATCTAAAGAGGACTCTGATTCCCAATGCCTTACTGGGCCACTCTCTTCCAGGCCCTTTTCCGTCTTCGAAGGATCATTACGAATTCTCGCTTACGAACAAGTGACGAAGCTTCTCGGTCAGCTAGCCGCCGGCGGCTCTTGATGTGGTCTCTCGGCTACCAGATATCATGCTGATATATTTGTAGTCTATATCCTATCGTGCTCAGTCATAATAAACATTGATGCACAAATCCTTGCAAAGTAGGTCGTTACAAGTCATTCGTCTGCATGGTTTGGGTCTGAATCAGCCCGCTCAATTACCACGGGCTTGAATCAGCGCGCTCCATTACTAGGGGTCTGCGTCTATTACCGCGGGTCTGAATCAGCGTGCGCCGTATAGCGTGCACCATTACCACGGATGGATATCGCGATGAATGTAAACTGAGCTTATCCGGGTCGCGGAGACGCTGTGCTGTCTCCAGCTCTGTGAAGACGGACGATCCTCGAACGATGGGCTCTGAGCGGTGCCAGTGCTTCCGTCATCCCCGGCGGCATCCCGTTTCCCAGGAGGAGCCAGTCTCTGTCGCTAAACTCAAAGATTCCAGGGCTGGGGCTGCTGGCTAAACATTGCAGAATTTGTAATTAATGGCTTTTAGAACGGCACGTCTCACTGTCCTGTTTTGACAGTGTGTGATCGTATCTGACTGTCGGACATACGGCCTCGAGGCTCGAACCGGACGAGTGTGACTGTCCTTATTGATTGAATGATTCCGTTCTATTTAACATTAGTAGACTCTTATCCATCTTCAATGAATGATCGCGGGGGGGGGAGGGGCGTAAAAGTATTGCGAGGTCGTCAGCACCTCAATGCCTTTAGGGCTTAAGCTTTTGGGTAAAGAGCAGGTGTACCTGGTTGCCAATGGTCGCCATTGAAGGCATCGTGCTGGCACCCGTATTGCTCACGGTACGCTGCTGATCATGCATCGTCATCGTCCCTTTTGGCTATCTTGTGAAAGGTTTTGGTTCCTGACTCATGAAGTCGTACGTACATTTAATATCGATTTCAACCTATTGAAGTACCCGTTCGCTTATTGCGATGTGCCACCCCATGGCTTGTAGTTTCTGGTTTCTCCGCGCTAGCGTAAATTGGCAACAATCCCCATGTTCGATGTGTTTACAGGAAGCAGTTTGATCCGATCTTCCTCAGGGGTGGGTAATTGTTTTACGCCCGGATCCGGGCTCCCCGCGAGGCGAGCAAACGGCTTCTCGCCAGTACGCCACGATAAATCACCGGACCAATCAGATGGCAGGCCGGTGGTCCCGATTCCAGACTCCTGGCTTGTGCCAGACCTATCAGGTCAAAGGCTAGTTAATGGTCCTGGTTCTGAACTCCTGCCCCACGTGGCTGGTGGTCCCGGGACCCGACTCCTGGTCCGGACCAATCAGGTAACGGGTAGTGGTCCCGTCTGTTGAATGGCTGCTGGCTCTGGGCGCGTCTTGGGTCTCATACTTTTTCTAGACTAATAAAAACAATGCTTAGTATTTACATACCTACATAACTTGTATTACACAACTAGCCGGTTTGGGGGTAGCTCAAATAATTCAGTGGCGGATCTTGTCTGAGCTCGACAGTGTGAAGTCTCATAATAACTTGTGGTCAGATTCGGTCTCCGCTAACCAAGCTGGTAGCTGGTGGCGGCTGGTCCGTGCCAGTGCGTCACGCTGCGCCCTGTCCCTCGAACCCAGCCTCGTGTCGCACCCAGCTGTCCAGTGCCCGTCTTCCCAGTCTCGCCCGGCTCTCAACACTGTGACGGTTACCTAAACAGACGAATCTCTGATGTTTCCGGAGATGGTCATTTGTATACCAGAGCGGCGACCGGCGACTGGTCAGCTATCGGCGACTCTGGCCACAGACTGAGACCACGGCCCGGGCCGCCAGGGTAGACAGGCTGACGGGCCGACGGACTGACGATTGACGAACTGGACGGACGGATTTGTGAAACTGCTGGCTTTCAGAGACTGGCCGCAGGCCACGGCCGACTTGGTAGACAGGCTGACGGGCCGACGGGCTGACGGAATGATGGCTGGCGGACAGACGGACTGACTTGCCGTGGAACTGCTGGTCGGCTATAGTTGACAGTTGACACCATGACCGCGGCCGCCTGTACAGACAGGCCGACGGACTAACGGACTGATGGAATGATGGCTGACGGACTGATGTTTGACGGACAGATGGACTGGCGGACGGACGGACAGACGGACTGGCGAACTTACAGACTGACGGACTGGTGGGCTGACGGACTGACGGACGGATTGACGGACTGACGGGCTGACGTGCTGAGTCACTGACGGTCTAGCGGACTGACTTGCCGTAATACTGACGGTCGGCTATTGGTGACGCAGACATGGCCGCCTGGACAGATATGATGACGGACTGACGGGTCGCGCTGTCCTAGATAGTCTGAAGGGCTGGGGAGACGTCTGTGGTGGTTAGACAGACCGACGGACTATGGGACAGCTGGGCGGTGTTTCAAGGCGGAGCGCTGCAGTGCGCTGCGCGCATCGGTGCGTTGGGTTTCCATGGCAATATCAACAAACTTCACTCTGACGCTAAGCTATGACGTCAAACAAATGCTAGCGCACCATGGCGCCAGCGCCGCCAGCACGTTGGCAGCATTTGCACTCAAACTTCTGTTCAATTCCGTACTAGGTTTTCATAGACATCTGTTCCAAACAAGATTTATCAATTATCATAAGTTAATGGATCGTACGCAACGCCATTCGAGTGACGTCAGGGGTATGCCTTAGCGCCCAGCGCGCTGCAGCGCTCGCAGCGTCGGGCGGTGAAACAGCAGGGCCCCGGGCAGATGGGCTGACGGACTATGTGACGACTGGGTAGACGGGCTGTGACTGGCCATACGAACTGACTGACGTGCTGACGAGTTGACGGGTCGTGCCCGTAGCGCCACCAATCACGGCTGGGATGACGGACCACGGACCGTAGAAGTGTTTTGTTCGATTGGTACTGTTAGTGACGTCTGATGATTCACCATTGCCTCGTCTGACAGAATGAATGATGAAGCGGCCTCTTTATAAGGAATCGTGTCAAAACATGACAGCGATGATTTCATCAACAAAACAATCACCTCAGGCTACGTGCTCTTGAAAGCCAAATGGAGACTGCCCTGTGCCCAATGCCCATGCCCATCATGCCCTTTGGGAGAGGTCCTGAAGACGCGCGGTGCACAGCACGACCCATTTACCATCGCCACACGTCGTGACCAGGGACGTCCTTAGATGGCCAGCAGTCTAAAAACGAACCCATCAGCCACAGTCGTGACTGTTTCTCATTCCCTGAAACACTTGGCGATTCCTTGTGAAGACTCGCAGCGCTGTACCTAAAAGGCGCCCGACGCTGTCAGTGGTCGACGCACGATCGTAATGGTCCTCCTACGGTCGGTGACTGTTATTGTGTCGCCGGTCTTTGGAGAGCCGGTCGGACCGAGGCGTGAATCGGCAGTTATGTGTCGACCCTGCGACGGGTGGGCGCAGCAAATGAAGCAGACGATCAGAAAATGGCCGCTTGACTTACTCGTAGCCTTTTCATAGTCGTCGTGAGTCGTCATGTCATCTTGACGAGTTTCGGTCACGTCAAAGACCGTCTGTTGTATCTAACCTCGAAGAGTGCCCGATAGCGATGTTCAGTATATTTTCTAGGCCCATAAGCTCTATGCTGGGCCTAAAGGCCCTTCCAACAGGGAGAGGTCTGACCTCAAATGAAGTTGCTCCTTTCAGTGGTCACATTACGCTGAACTGCAAGGAAATGCCCAGCATTTATCCGCTCAGTGCGAAATTTCATGCGTCACTCCTGAGCTATGGCCATGCTTGGCGCTTTGCTCCGTATCAGATGCATTCAGTGGCGATGGTGCAGCTACCGCCAAACTGCTGAAATCCTGCATCGCTGGTGCACAGTCCACACTTCCCCCGGGAGGTAAATGACGCCAGTGTTTACTGGACTGATATCCGTGTGGGACTGACGACACCGCCGCTGGCTGCTCGTCACGGATCCGTGCAGCGGTGCCTACCGGACAGCCGAGACACCCGAGGTCGGTCTGTGTTTGACCGCAGTCCTGCAGCCGCTCGTCTGTTGGGTCTGCCTCTCCGGGGTCAGATAGATACTCTGAGAGTGTATAGTCAACTACAGAATGATGTTCCACTCCTCAGAAGCTTTTAGTTAACCGGAGCGCCAAGTTGTGCCGTCTATCACGCAATTACGCGTGTCGATTGTGAGCATTGGGATAAAGCTATAATTTGTGAACTCAGCCCGTGTGATGCGGCACAGCCTACCACTCCAGGCAAATAATTGCCTGTGAAAAGTGGAACATCATTCTGTAGTCGACAATACGGTCTGATGATACTGAGCAGATATACATTATACAGGGCTGCTTGGGTGTTTGGGTGGATGATGTGAGTGCATTCGGTCAGCGTTTAACGAACGATTTTGTGGATTTCATATATACGAGCGATGATGGCCCTACTAAAGGACTTAGCCTGATGGCCTTGTTCAAGATTCGTCCAATACGCTAACTAGGGGACAGACTCCTTAGGTCGTCGAACTGCTTCTCTGCAGTGCAGATGAAATGAATGCGCTGGAGAGGGACGCAGTTTGGCGCCTTTCGGGAGCCCTTAATAGATAAACTCCGGGTTTGCGTATTGCTACTATCGAACCTCCTGCTAGCTCACAGTTTTCAGATAAATCTACTAGGACTAGCCTGTTTGGCTTGGCTTTGCTGACCTGTTTTCCACCGATTGCTGACCACTTCTTTATCTGTCCCTCCGCAGGAACTTTTGCCCGATGATGGTGGAGAAGCGTGTCTCGTGTCTGGAGAAGAACGGGACGGAGGAGTACCGGGTGCCCGACCCGCGCTGTCACCTCACCCGAAACTACCACGACTGCCAGCAGACTGTGTCAGTCAGAGGGTGGGAGAGTGTCAGTGTCAGCGGGGTGTCACTAAAGGCGGGGTGTCGTTGTTGTCAATATATTCCTGCCCGGGGCCGGGATGATTCAATAAATGTCACCGAGGTTTTTTAGCGAAAACTCCGAGGGCCGTTAGGCCCGAGGTGATTTTGCTAAAAAAGCGAGGTGACATTTATTGAATTCCCGGCCTTAGGGCTGGAAGGTATTTCCCATACCTGCCAAAAAGCTCACAACTACATGATAGTGACGTCAGCTGCAGCCGTGTGGTTCAACGCGTTTAACCACACTCCTTGAACCACACGGCTGGCAATATTAAAGCACTGCATTAAACTTTGAAAAGTGTGGTACAGTGCACGTGCCGTTTAAATGCCTGGATGTCTCGATTTAATCATGCAATGTAGCAGGTATGGGAAAATAAAAACCAGCGTGTGCGGGGATTCAGGAAACCGGCTAAACGGGCGTAGCAGGTCATTACGTGATTTGCTCTAACCCGCGCCCCGCTGGGCTATTCAGCCATACGCGCCCTGCTGGGGGGGGGGGGGGGGGGGCAGATTCTGCCCCCCCTGTCTAACTTCCGAACCGATGGTCGTAGAAAGACGGGGAAAACGGCAATCGAAAGCTCTCAACAAGGCGGATCTTAAGAGCGCAAATTTTTTTGCTTAAGTAGGTCAGAGGTCAGGTCAAGGTCAGGTCAAGGGTACAAAATGCAAGTTTCTACAGTATCGGCCTTGCACCGTAGTTGCCGAAGAATGGACGGAGACTGATTGCCCAAAACGTGTTCTTAGACTACCAAGACAATATTCGTTGCACACAATGTCATTCAAAGGTCAAGGTCAAGGTCAGGTCAGGTCAGGTCAGGTCACCAAAAACAAAATATAGAAAAGGGCATGTGCGACACATGTTTTATGGGTCATTTTACTCATGGAATTCAATAGGCACACTCAATAAGTGATATGGACCACCTCTGGATGAATTTCAGGTCGAGGTCAGGTCAAGGTCAGGTCAAGTGAGGTCAAATTTTGAAGTTGGTTGTTAAGGCCTAAAAAGGTGTCTATCCGATGCAGTTTTTCACGGCGAATCGAATGGTGCTATTTTTATTTCCGTACGAGGTCTGGAACTTCCAAAAAAATCATTTTTCAAAAATTTTGTGTGTCGTGACGTCATAAAATTTTGAATAACTCCCACATTTTTGAACCGATTCTTCTAAAAATTGGCATGTAGGTGCACATAGACCACTTCTTTGACATATATTCCGGTTTTTTCGATAAACTCAAAATTTTGGATTTTATAAATATTTTCCCAAAAAAGTCAGTTTTTTGGAAAATTTTTGGCCAAAATCCAAAATTTTCAAAAAACCGAGATAGCCATTTGATAGACAAAGTAGAATCACGTATAACCTTTTTTGTTACGTCTTGATTCCTTTAAAAATGAAGAAGTTAGCGGCGTTTGAAATTTTGCCGTTTTTTAAGCGAAAATGGCGAACATGACGTCACTAAAACGTCAATTTCTCAAAAATTTTCCGACGGATTTCGCTCAAATTTGCAGGGAACGTGTCAAATTGATGTATGATAAGGTACTGAAAGTTTGACGTCGCTGGCGTAACGCGTTTAGAAGTTATTGGCGAAAAACGGGAGGGGGGGGGGGCAGATTCTGCCCCCCCCCCAGCGGGGCGCGGGCTATTCGATCGGAATATGAGAAACCCAACAAGAACTTGCGAGATATGGGGGTGGAGTGCAGCGCAATATGAATCTTTATTATCATTCTTCAGTTGGCAATCGCCTGATCGTGTAGCTGGCTGTTCCACAGCGTGCGTCACAAGCCCAAGTACGTGAAGGCCTTCAAAACGGTGAAGGTTCTGGGCACCGGCTGCTGCCCCGGATTCGAGGGACCTCAGTGCAAAGAGGGTGAGTGCCGTCGGATGGTCAAAGGTCGTATGAGTTGAGCCGAGTTGCTGTTCGTCATACACTTATGACTTAGGTACAAATAGACAAGATATCTCACCCCGTAAACATGAAATAACTACGACCATTCTCTTGAATAACGTCTGTCATGTGTTCTGCTACAAATTACAACTAATTAATTGTCACCTCCGTCCGCAGCCTGTTTCAACTGCACCGACTTCAGTGACCTGGTGAGCCGACTGACGACCCTGGAGCAGTTTGTCGGCATCAGGACCGGGGAGCGGCCTCAGTCGGCGCGACCCGACTCGCCAGGTTAGTTCAGAGGGTCGCCACAACGGGCGAAACAGGCGGTCAGGGCGCTGGAGGTAGCTGGGGTAAAGGCTGTCGGCCCCTGGGTGGTAGCCTTTGGTTATAACTACTGATGCAAGTGGAGCTGAATGTTATGTTGCATTTGTTTTCTTCTGAGTCTGATATTTAGTGACAGTAAACAAAGTGTCACTGTTGATATAAATGAGCTCATGAGAGACAAGCTTTAGAGTGTTTGCGGGCCATCGTTAGTTTAATTAGCTCCGAGATAAACTAAGTGCTGAGGGGGAAGGACAGGTTTTGGTGGTGATTGATTAGTATGAGTCATTGCCAATCACGGTGTCATTAATGCCTCATTATATATTAGTTTACCGTTATACCAACACTGGTCAAACTAATTGCCCTTTAGTGTGTTGACTGTCCAATAAATGAAGTGATATACATAGGGCTGATGAACTTAGTGTGAACGAAGGGGCATAAGGGCTGATGAGCTCAGTGTGAGCGACATAGCGACATAATTTTTGGTAAGATCTGAGCCATTAACTGGACAAGCTGCTCAATTGGCCAACTGATCTCTCTCCCCTCTGTTTCAGCGTCTCCGCCATTCACCGGTCTGGACGCCCCCGCCGGCGACTCTCCGCCGTTCGAGGAGCCGCGGCCGCCGGCTCCCGTCTCCCCGACAGGCCCCGTGTCGCCGCCGGGAGGACGGGAGTGCTCCTGTCCACCGGGACCCTTCGGTCCGCCGGGCCCGCCCGGCCCTCCGGGACGGGACGGCGCCACCGGTCTGCCGGGCCCGCCGGGACCCGAGGGCCCCGCCGGAGAGCCCGGCAGGGACGGTTTTCCGGGCCTCAGTGGGCCCGTCGGACCCGAGGGACCCCCCGGAGCCCCCGGACTGCCAGGAGCGTCAGGTGAGACAGGTCTTTGCCCGCCATCTGTCGAAGTTTCAGGGTTAGGTTTTCGTATAAAATGGGATGTCAGCATTGCTCATTGTTTGATGTCGAATAATTAGGTCAACCGTTGCCGCCCACTGTTCCCGTGCTCCTCGTTTGATCGGTCCTTTTGCATCATCCCTTTTGACCATCCTGACACGCGGATCTCTGACCATGCTATTACATACATCTAACCGTGAACATTCTGTTATAGGTGGTAGGTCTGGCGGCCAACCTAGCAGGCACATGATTTGCCTCAGTATCTCTGACTGTGCACTCATGTATTCTGGTGTAGGTGGCCGGTCGGTCGGCCAGCCGCGCGGTGATATGGATGTAAACTGCATATTGGAGGTAACCATCCACATTCTGTTACAGGTGGCCGATCGGGCGGCCAGCCGCGCGGCGATATGGATGTTTGGTGGAGGTAACTACTTACTACACATTATGTTACAGGTGGCCGATCGGGCGGCCAGCCGCGCGGTGATATGGGCGGCCCGGCGCTGGACCGTCCCGTCCCCGAATACTCGGTGCCGGGCTCGCCGGGACTGCCGGGCCCGATGGGTCGGCCCGGGCCGGCCGGACCGCCCGGCCAGCCCGGCATTAGGGGTACGTACCGACCTCCGCTGGGTTAGGGCGGCAGGGAACGAGCCTCATTCCTAGACACAATCTCAAACTCTCCGTTCCGTCGTTTTCATCCTTAGGGCATTCAAATCCTTCTTCTCCACGCCTCCACCCCCTGTTCCAGTCTGGACAGGCAAATTTATCCCATGCGGGAGGCTCCACATCAGGAGCAGGCCCGTTGCCGGGTGCAGTGACTGTTAGAGGGCTGGGTTGCCTGTCCATTGGATGGGCTCAGCCCCGACGGGCCACCAGGGTGCCCGCCCAGACCAATGCCCCCCCCCCCACACTTCCTATTATCCTTCCGGCTCTGAAATGGTCCCATTAGATCAAAAGAGTATGCCCCGCGCCCCCCCCCCCAAAAAAAAAAAAACAAACGATCTCAAACGAGTGGAAGGACTGCGTCTCTTCGTCTCTGATGTTGGCATTGCTTGCATCGTGGTCATTTGTTTTTGTGTTTGTGCGTTTTTTATTTAGTATTTTGTTGTTATGCCTTTAGTCATCTTAGTACTGCTTTCGTTTGCAGTTATTTCTTCACCATTGCCGTTTTAACTCTACTACGAATTGCATTGTCTAGCATAACGTTTTTTTTTTTTTTTTAGATCAATGAAGCGAATTATTTGATACTCGGCTTTCTCGTCAGCATCCACTGTTGCTTTATGCGACCTTATGCTGAGGTTCCAGTCCCGTTCTGACTAACTTTGTCTCTCATCAGACCGGGACTGAGATAACTGACCGGAGTTCCCCGTTCTCAGGAGAGCCGGGCCTGGCGGGTCTGCCCGGCGTGAAGGGCGAGGCAGGCCAGCCAGGTCTGCCCGGACCCGTCGGCCAGAAGGGCGAGATGGGTCTGCAGGGTCTGCGGGGCCCGCCCGGAGACCCCGGTCTGTCGGGTCTGTCCGGACCCAAGGGAGACCCGGGCGAGCCCGGACCGCCCGGACTGCCCGGTGCGCCCGGCGGCGACGGAGGTGGGTGCCGATTGGGGGGGGGGGGGCAGGGGTGCTGAAGGGACGGAGGTGGGTGCTGAGAGGAGGGTGGTGGGTACAGATTAGGTGCTGAAGGGAGCCAGAAAGATATGCTACAACGAGGGATGCTAAGCTTTAGGAACAAGACCAAGTACCACCGTCTCGAGCGCTCACGCGGGAGGTTGGTTGCCAAAGGGAGGGAAATGTAGACGGGGACAGATGCCGATGCGACAAAAGCAGACAAAACTAGGTGTCAACTGGAGGGACCAACCGACCGCCCAATCAGGGTGGGTATGCCTGTAGAGTCAGCAGGTCATGTAGCACGTAACTAGCGCGATCTGATGCCGTCACCAGTCGGAAAAATGAAATACGTTTGATTGGTCGTTCTACCGCGGCTACATACGTGTGTGAGTGATAACGTTGTGGGAAGGACGCGATTCTTCAAGCAAAAAAAAAAAAAAACTCAAGGAACGTCTATTATGGCCCTTCAGCTGTGGCGCTTTTGATCAGACCAGAACTGAACGTTTGTCTTGGAGTGTTCCTAGAAAAAAAAACTTTGTGGGAATCGGTCTGCCTGCTGTAGAGGCTGTCACTGTTCAGTAAGTAAGCCCATAACACGTTCTGTTTTTGGCTGCAGCAGCGGCAGGTGCGGGCGGCCCGCCGTCGAGCGAACTAGCCGAGAGGATGGCTGGCCTCGAGGCTATGGTGCAACTGCTCGAAGAGAAGGTGAACGAACTCAGAGGTGAGTCAAACGTTATCTATCCTAGGGACTGGGGAAATGGTCGATTCTGCTGTTGGGAAGAATACAAAAGTAATAGTTTTCAAATATGTTGCTATTAACATTTCTTGTCATTGAGTAGGTTTGTATTTCGCTGTGGAAATGAATTGCATGATTGTGTCGTATTTTGCATCTACGTCAGCTCACTGTGCTCCGTGATGATGATTTCAGTCTACCCCCAGGATGCGTCGTGTTCTTGTACCGCTGAACGCCGCAGTACGGCTGCAATGTGGCTTGTATTGCCCCTCCGATATTCTCCTTCCCTGTATGTATGTCTGTCTGCCCCTGTCGGTTCGGTCCGTGTTTTACGCGACCCCGACGCTGTCCCTCCCTGTCGTTTTGACCCTCACCCCACCCCTCCTGGCAGACTCGGTAGAGCTGGCAGCTCCCGGCCAGACCGTGGCGCCCGGCTTCCAGACCTACGAGTACGACGAGGACGGGTTCCAAGCCACCACCGAGGACTACGGAGACTACTACGGAGACTACACGGGCAGCGACGACTACACCGAGTACGAATTCCAGGACGGCGCGGACCCGCAGTCCCGCCGGAAGCGCCGTCCCTCCGCGCGCCGTGGCAGGTCGGGCCGACTCAGGGCACGGGCCAACGCGCACCTGAGGAGGAGCGGCGGTGCGGGCTGGCGGCGGGGGGTCAGTCAGATCAACACTCACCACGCAGCCAGGAACCAGGCGTAGGGAGGGGGCTCTCGAGGGAGGCTCCGGCAGGCAGAGAAGGGCGGCCCGGGCAGAGAAGTGTGCCCGCATGGATTGCAGAGAGATTGGCAGAAACGGTAAACGTTGGTCCGGCATTTGGCCAATGATTTATGCGCTTTTATGGAAGGAAAGCGGGTGCTAGAACTTTGAGATGAGGACAGGGTCAATGCTGGACGGAAAGTTTTTGGTCAGCCTTCTGCGGGTTTTCATCGGGAAGATTTGCTGAAGAAGTGCTCTCACTCACTGACAATGTGCTGCATTTACATTTAGCGCTTTTTTACGTAATGAAGTGTTAACAATTTACACTGCCAGCGAAACCGATCTGTTCCATTACTGTTCCAGCCTGTTTTGCTTAATTCTTAAACATGTTCCCTGGAGGGAATAACCGATGCGTGTGGCGAAAATATAACATGAAAACAAGCTGTTTTAGCCTCGCCCATGTTACTTTCTCAATAGAGTCGTGATGCCTGGTGGCTAGTCATAAGCCCGGAAGCTCTCGCTGTACATCCGAGACACGAGGAGAGCTCTCATTCAACTCTCCTCGTGACTACTCTTCTTGTGAAAGCAGCGTGTAATGAGATCGGATATGTGACCTTCATTTGGTTTGAAACGTATTAGAACAGCTATCTTAGCGACTGCTCGAGGTGTTTGATGGAAGCGCCATTATAAATGAAGCCACCATCGGTAATCGGTATCGGGCGGTTATCCTGGAAGGGCGAACCCAGTACCTCCGTCCCAGGTCAAGATGTATCTGAGGCGTTTTTACGCCTCATTTTAACTGTGCATCCTCACTAGCTTTCAGCTGTAGGCAGACAGTTGGTGATTGCCGAGTGTTACGTGTATTGTAGTACCTTTCCGTTAAAAAACGCGGCGGCGGCCGGCCGGGTCCATTCGCCCGCCTCTCAAGCCCGACGGACAGACAGACAGACAGACGGTATCACAGTGTTGCGTCCAAAAGTAAAACGGCCCGGCACGGACGGACGGCCGGGTTAAGTAAAAGGCCGCCAGGTCACGGCGTCGCTCCCCGTCAGGTCACGGCGTCGCTCACCGTCTGGTGCGGCGGCGGCCGGCGCTCTGCACACACAGGTGACCTGACCTGGCGCGCGGCGCACGGACCGCCGCCCCGCACACAGCAGTGGACCCCACCCCCTTTGAGCAATCCCCTGTCTCGTGACACGCATTGTGACCTCGGCATCAGCGGACGGTCGTTCCGTCCGGAATACAGCGACGATATACCCAAATAAGGCTAAATCAGAGGCGTCCCGGCCCACAGCGGTTACCAGCATACTAACGGCACTGAACCAACCGGCCAATATCTCCAGCGAGTAAACGACATACACGATAACCATTCGCATCGAGCGCCTCTTGGTCAAAACAAACACGGCGCCTAGCTCTCTCACACGCACGCACACCTCGATAACTGTTCATAAACTACCTATAAACCTGTGAACGCTCTCAACAGCTCAGTCACGTGTACGAAAATAACATGTTCGCGCGGCGCCGTCCGGCCCGCCGCGCTCTGCGCTTCTCTCGAGTATTACCACTGTGGCTCCGGCCGGGCGCCCGTCCCTCTCAGCTCTGCGTCTCCGCGGCCAGGCACTCGTCACACACGCGCACGGGCAGCTGGTGTCCGAACTGGGGCAGCGGCAGCACGCCCGAGCTGCAGCGCGAGCAGAACACGCGGCCGCAGCGGCGGCAATGGTGGCGGCGGCGCACCATCGTGAACGGCTGGCCGCACTGCATGCACTCTGGCGCCGCCTGGTCGGGCACCCAGAGCGGCGCCGAGCGGCGCGGCGTCACCTCCAGCGGCGGCGGCGGCGGCGGCTGGCGCGGCTCGAGCGCCTCCGTCAGCCGCGCCGGCACGGTGACGGCCGGAGGCGCCGGCGGCGGCGGCAGCGGCCGGGCCGGGCCGCCCTCTGCCAGCACCTGCTGCACCAGGCCGGCCTCGCCGCTGATGCCGATGCTGCCGTGCACCAGCACCTGGGCCTCCATGTGGTCGCCCACCACGCGCATGTTGCTGGCCAGGTGGGACTCCTCCGAGACCTGGCTGAGCAGGGCCGGCGCGGGGGCGGGGGCGGGCCCGCCTACATCCACCACGTCGATGACGGCCGCCGGAGAGCCCAGCGCCTCCTCGGCAGAGTCGACAGAGCCGCACGACGGGCTCAGCTCTGGGGAACGGAGAGGGCGGGTCAGACATGGGCTGTGCCAGACAGTACGAACTCAAGTACTGGGGGTACCGCGAGGGGGACGGGTCAGACAAAGGCCGTGTCAGACAGCACACGCTGAGGGGACGGGGTCAAACACTGAGATCGGAGGGGACAGAGTCAGACTTGGGCCGTGCCGGACAGCACGGAGAAAACGGGTCAGATCAGACTCTGCTGGAGACTGGACGCTCCATCAAGCTACAGAACAGATCACAAACTTGGACATGCTAGCGTTGACAAAGACCCGTCCACGTCGTTCCCATGTGGATTTTACACTTGAGTTACACGCTCTTGAGGTAGCTCAACAAATTGAGATGTTGCTTTTGACGCAGTCAGGCACGTAACATTCCAGGGACAGAATTATCTCACCTCCGCTGGAATCCTCCTCGGGCGTGGCGTTGATCTGGAAGACCACCTTGAGGATGTTGCGCAGGTCTGAGGCGAAGTTGGTCTGAAGCTGGTCGGCCACTCCCGAAATGCAGACAAACAGACGGTGAATCAGGTCCTGGCTGTCCCTGAAGACACAACACGACTGTAATGGTACACACATCCGGCCAACAGCGTAGGCTCGTGGTCAGCATCACATCAGCTGAATCGAATGGGCCACTTCACAGCTAATGATACTGTGAGCATAATTACTGAATCTGATGAACAAGGAGTATTATATTCTAAATTCTACATTGCTCATTAGGGTGTGTCATATCAAATATTTTTGTCTCAGATCAAGCGCTTCCGCGGATATTCCTTGTCTCTGGGTTCATTGAAGCCCATTGGCACTGTTCTTTTTTCGCTGCACCGAAAATTCAGGCGGCGCGGGCCCAATCAATTTCGACATTTCTCGTGGCGCCCGGCGTTGAAGTCTCCATACTGAACACAATGCGTACCGTAGCGCTAACACCAGCCATATGACTCGCCGTCGGCCTGTAGCGGCCAACGCCGTTTGACGGTTAAAATTCGATTGCTATTTCTTGTTTAAATGGACGTCGGACGAAACATACTATCATTTTAATGTGTTGAGGCCATTCAGGGACTCACAGATGATCCATATAATAGGACTTAGGCGGCGGAACGGAACGGGGAGGGCACCGGGGCACCGTGCCCCCCTTTGATTTTGGTATTTTAACATTAGCCCTATGGGCGTTGCATGGAAAGAATGGGACCAGAAGTCGGCAGTGCCCCCCCCCCCTTAATTGAAGGTGTTCCGCCGCTACTGTATGTAATAGGATCACGCTGCAGCCTTGGCAAGACTATCACGAGTGGGGCAGGGAGAATGAGAGCACGGATGGACAGAGGGAAACATGAGCGGGGTCTCGGGTATCACCCCTCCGTCGGCAACACAATGTGTCGGCTTTCGAGTCATGTGCTGTCTCCCAGAGACACACGAGCTTGCAAAGAACGTGAGTCAGTCTGGTTTCAGCTGCGGCGTGAGCAGAAGTGCGTGTGGTGCAATCGAATCGGACTATTCGTGCCGCAGTGATGCCGTGGTGAAGCAAGCCGAAACATTTTGTTATCGGGTCTCCTAGTGTGCTGCGGGTAAATCAGCTGCCTACCAACAGAGATGTAGTGAACTATGTGAGACTCTTGGCAGAGGATAGAAAAAGTGAGCGGACAGTCACTGCATGTTTACGTGAAGCAGCGGAGGCGGTGGTTGCAATGTGGTCGAGTGAGGGCATACCAACGATACAAATGCACAATGTGGTTCGGAAGGTAAAGCAAGTCTACGAAAGATTTCGCCGATCGAACAAGGTGTCCGAAAGAATGTGGGAGGGACAAACGAAACAAAGTGTTCCTGAAGCGAGTCTGTTTCGTAAGCTTTTTGACATCGCCCGCTGCCGCTGTAAAGATCGGCGAAGCTGTACCTGTCCGCTTTCAAACTGGGTACCGCCAGCGGAAATAGCATTCCTTCGAGACCAGAGAGGAGTTTGGAAGATGAGACTGGTTGGTGTGGACTACGAGGAGACGAGGAAACGACGTAAGACTGCGAGCCTTGAGACGGGAGCGGAACGAGGGGAGGGGCGACGTGGGTCAAGCTGGTCCTTCCCACCTCCGTACCTATTCCAACGGCGTCAATATCGACGAGACAGGCCAGGTAGACTCGTCGGCAACGACCGACACCAACGACAGTAATGAAGACGTCACAAGTGAATTTGAGATGAAGGAATGCATCAAAGACTCAAACGATGATGATATGACAAACACTGCACTGGCAGCTGACCGACAAGGTATGGTTTATCCAACCGTGCTGTAGCGGCCGTCATCAATGGTTTTTAGACGGATGTCGGTCGCGTAGCGAGCGGCAAAACAGAATTGCTGGTCGACCCGAAAAAAGTATGGAGAGAAAGATGCCGGATGAGACAAGCTGCCAGCTGCACTCGAATGAGCTTGTACTGAGGGAAGTTTTCCAGAACTTGGACGGCAAAACCAGTGGACCCGGATCATTCACGGGGCCGTTGGGCCAGGCAGCCGGCGCCTCCGTGCACCGTCTTTCTCCCGTGAAGTTCCGACCGGTGAGCGGCCCAGAGCTGGATCTGCCGGACAACATCATCGCGGACCTCAGCAGCGACCAACTCCTGCTGTATCAGCTCACCAGAGCCGTGCGGGCGGGCAACATCTCCGCAAAGGAGGCCTGCAAGAAAATCGGTTCCCTGAACACAATGCAAGGTAAGGCAAATGCTAATTGAGTTGAATTCAGTTTGCTATTGAATGGCAAAGATGCATCTTTTCTGTGTAACCGTTGTCTCAATAGAGGATACTGCCTCGTTTGCATTGCTTACATCCGTATTGACAGCGTCTGTCGACGTTAACAGGCGAAGACGCGCGCGGCTGGTGTTAGTGTCATCAAAGGCATTACGCCAAACATGGAGACTGCAACGCCGGGCGCCACGATAAATCCCGAACTTCTTTCAGCCGGCGCCGATCGAATTTTCGATGCATGGGAAAAAGAACTGCACCAATGGGCTTCCATAGACACAGGGACAAGGAAAATCAGCGGAAGCGCTTGATCTGTTTCTAGTGACACACCCTATTGCTCATCCATGCTAAACGAACGAAAATTCAGTCTTTTTACTCGAGTTTCCAATTACTGACCAGCCAGCAGACCACTGTCCCACCGTCCCCTCACGCTGCCACCCGCTCCTATGTACTGACTTGAAGCGCGCGCGGGACCGGCTGCGCGTGGCGATCTCGGCCGCCTGGATGGCCAGCGCGATCTCTCGGTCTCCGCTG